GCCATATTGAAAAATGGCGTAAAATAAATTTTAGTCACAGTTATTATTAAACACCCATATGCCAATTTTCAAAGGGATCTGAGCATTGTTTTTTCTGCCGCCAACGAACGCTTCTATGATGACTATATTTGAAAATGGCGAAAAACAAATTTTGAGCACAAATTATTATCTTCTTTTATATTTCTTCTTCAAGACACCCAGTTTAGAATTTATAAATGTATGTAATTTTTCCATTTCAATTTTGTTTTAATTCTACAACAACCTTCGCTCCATATTATAAACGTTCAATACTACATTTAACGTCTTTATTCCCTAGTAAATATGTAGGTACTTTAGGATATTTACGTCCTTCCTCCAACCTACAAGATGTGGAATAGTATTCCTCCTGAAGTATTTCCTTTGTGATGATGCTAACTTCCTTCATCGTCATCCTACCTTTTTATCACCCTCTTTACGGTTCCTGGCCATTTTTAAAATGTTGAATTAATTTTAAAGAGCAATTATTTTAAAGTTGGTTTTGCTATTCTCCAATTCAAGGCGTTTTTCTCTCTCAATATACTTTGAGTAGTGAGAACCGATTTTTATTATCTCCTTTATCAAGTCCCGTATAGTGGAGAACTAGGGAATATTTCAATAAAACTTAGCAAATAGACGTAATTCCACGTACTTTTGAGGTCGGTTTTTTTAGTACTCTGTACTGAGATTATTCCTTGTACTATTCTAATTGGTTCGTTCTGTCGTTACTCACATCAAAATTCTCAAATCGAATCCTATTGTATGCTTTTAAATCATTATATATAGGTACGAATATAGGCCTTTTGGGATAAGTGTCTGGACTGGTTTAGATGGTTTTATACTGATTGTACTTTTTATATTATTTTATTAAGTATTACAGCTTTTTCGTTTCTACTTGTAAACGGGTTTAAGTGGACCGAGCCTTTTCTTTCTTTTCACAGTACTAAAATAATCTAGGTTGGTCACAGTTCATAAAAATCTTCAATATATTGTGCAGATTTTTTATACCTTTTTTTATAACCTTGTAACGTTTACGTGTTTTTGCCTCGCTTTTAAATGAATAGCTTTTATTGTAGTAAATAAATGAAATTCAAGTAAAAATAACCCCAAATCAATGTTTAATGAAGAAATGACCGGACAATTTTTATATTTTTTCAAAAATTCATTAATTTTTTACGACAACTTGCAAAGGTCTCATCACACTGCATTTGCTAGAGATGAGGTACATCGTTAAAAAGTTTTCGATAATTTAATTAATAAATGTATGTTGTGGGTATTCATTGTTAAAGTATGAATTTTAGTCGTAGACAATGGATTAATAAGTCAGTGTTATTACTTTTTTGCAACCTACAGGTTAATGATATGATAAATGTTTTTAAAAATTTACTGAAATATCTATTGAAATTGCAATTATAGTTGTGAATTGTATGCCTTCAAAATATAAAAAAAAAGTTCACACATCTATACATTGTTCAGAATACTTCAGAAAAATAAAACTATAAGAGAGAACTTGTGCTTCAAAAATCAAATACACTAAAAATCTATCGATTTTACCTCATATCTTTTGAAACGTCAAATGAAGTGTCACAGAGATCATCCTAGATTGTGTTTAGTATAAGGCTTTTTTCTTCAAAAAATTCGTCAACAGGGCTCTCAAAAGATGGCACGCACAGCTTAAGGTAAACCCGGGTCAGATGTCCCACTTTTTTTGAAAGGGCCTCCTAATTTAAAAATTATTAGTTTACCATGAATAATTCCTATGAATATAGGTACCTAATTTAATCTTTTACATTACATTAAGACTTGATTTTATTGCTCTAACATTTACCGATTTTGAAGAAATTGACTTTTAGCAAATCTATTTTTTTAGGATAGATGCCTGCCTATATGGATAGACGCCACACAATGAAAATACTAAAAAGGATAGATGCCCTTTAGAATAAATTAGTAAAATTCATAATAAAATGTTTTATTTGTAATCTTTAATATATTGTATATACATATTACATCTTTAATAATAAATATATACGTAATTAAAGTTACTACCTACTTCACTTCGTATTTTTGTAGCTATCAAAATATTCTATACAAAAATGTTCGCTGTTTGAATTGTGACTGTGTTGTCTCTTTGGTACTTTTACTTACTTTTAAACTCTTCATTTACTTGTCTTTTTTACTAAAATAATGTATTATTTTAATTTCTTTTCCTAACTTTCTTGTTTTGTCCTTTGCCCTAACCTATACCGCGAAAAATCGAGGCGACTATCCTATTCGATATGGATAGATGCCCTTTTATTATATAACTAAGCTCTAAACAAAAGAGCGATTATTGACACCTAGGGGCGCAGTTAATGAACCAGTGTATAGTTATAATAAAAATAAAACGGAATCTATTATAACTTACAAAGTTACGCGACAGTAAATACTTGCGTCTGAAAATTGAACCATTTGTCGTGTTCGTCGCGGAGATAAAGGCATGCACAAGCCAGTTCATTCCACACGAAGTCCTCCAGGAACTTTGATGAGTGGTGTCTATACTCCTTATTTAAACTAATTATTCTTTGTTACGATTTGGGGAAGTTAGGTTTTTTGAAACCGAGGCACCTATCCCACTACGGCATCTATCCAGGTTTTAACCAACCTGATGTTGCAGATGTCCTTGGGCGACAATAACCACCTCCCTTCAAATGGTTCGTCTGCTCGTTTGCCCTCCTACTTTACCTACACGAAAATAAAAATAAAAGTTACGTTATAATTATCTTAGATTTGAATTAATTGCAATTTGTCTCATTATTACGCTGGATTAGCTATATATCTATTAAAAATCGGTAGGGCCTTTTAGAAGATGAAAGAAAAATGCAGGATTTTAACGATTTTCTGATTGATTTAGTGCTTGCACATTCAAATATTGAACAACTAAGATTCAAAGAAAAAAGTAGACCATCGAAACTTTCCGTATCGTAGTCCTTTCACTGGTAATAAATCAAATGAATGAACCGAATTAATGCTCTGGCCACAAAGAAGTGGTAGCGGCGGGGGCCGGGTCCGGGGCGAACGCGAGGTGCGAAACTGTATTCCAGTGGGAGTCAGATGGCGAGTGCATCGTAACGAATCCTGATAAATTTAGTACCAAAAAATGTACCTACATTGTACTATTTAGTAGCTTAAAAAATTTGTATCTCCATCAAAACAAAATTAAAGCAATATCGAAGTGTACACCCGTCATATTGACAATCAATATGGCGGGTATACCTCAAATTACCAATTTTCATTTAATAATTATAAAAACTTATTATTTCAAAAATTATATCTCTGATTCGTTAGCGCCCAGTAACACGAGAAGAAAGTTTTCGCGCAGCCGCCGAGTCGCGACCACCCAATTACCACGGCTTCATGTACATTAATGGCGAATCTGAATTCTATTTATTATGCAACAACATTTGAATTCCTCTCAATAAAATTAGACCGCATAGACCAAATTCAAGCCAGGCTAGCCCGCGTGCCCGGAACGCTCATTTAAATAAAAACGGAACATGAAACAAATAGAGCGTATTTTGCCATGACAGTTAGACGCACGCGGACGCTGCGCGGCGGCAATGCGGACTCCGCTCTTCGACCGCGCGGGTTGCAATAAATGCAATTAAGATAATAAATAACGCACACACTCAACATAACCCCGCACTAGGGAAACCCTGTGTTGCGGGTGTCATGGACACACACATAGACAACCACAAATTACACCCAAACTCACGAGAGAAATAAATGTAAGCCATACAAACATTTCTCCCGGGCCGGGAAACGAATCTGGGACCTCTGCGTGGCAGTCCGGCATGGTAACCGTTCGGCCACGGAGGCAGTTAAAGATACACCTGCCCTTCTGACTCTCCACAAATTTAGTCTTATTTCTCAGGAACTAATCATTAGGCCGAGTTGGCGTTTATTTTACCTACATTTAAGGTGCATTTTTTTGAAATAATAGCTTTTTATAATTATGAAATAAAAACTGATAACACCCGCTATATTGACTGTTAATAAGGCGGGTGTGTGTATCTTTGATATTGCGATAACTTCGTTCTGATGGAGGTACAGTTTTTATAAGCATAGGTACTAAATAATATAATTTAGGTACTCTTTTTGATACTAAATGTGTCAAGATTCGTTAAGATACACCTGCCATTCTGACTCTCACGTAATCCATTGATTGTATGAAACCAGTCCACACAGTCACAGAACAACAGCGGCAGAGCGCGGTCCGGGAACGGGCATTTAGAGGGATTGCACGTTGTATTTTTTTACAACTCTTGAGTGTGTTTTTATTAAGTTTCAATATGAATTTGACCGAAATTTCTCTTGCGTTGCTTCCGTAACGCAAATAAAAGCAGTATTTTTCTTTGAACACTATCCGACAGCGACACGGTGGTGCTTTCTTTAAATCTAAGTAAAATATTAAACGTGACTTTCACTTGTGAGTGTCACCTCGGCAGCCTTCACGCGCTGTCCCGCCGCGAACTACACTTCCTGAAGGTCCGCCCCCGGACCGCTTTTCCCGCTATATCGCGTCTGTGTGATCTAAACTTAAAGGACTATTTTGTTATAGGAGGATAAGTTTTTACTTGTATCCTGCCCTATGGTCATCACTACCCTAGTAAAGAAGCAGCCTTTTATTTTATTTTATGTCTTACTTAAATCCATTTTTTATTAAGAGTTGGTAATGGAATGTACACATTACATAGATACATAAAGCCTGTTTGTTTGCGGTTATTTGCCATAATAAATTTATTCAATAAGTTGCGTACATATCCTTGAAAAACCGAAACCAAATTTTCTTATTACTTGTTAGGGTCTGCAATAATAAGTAAAACTCAGTAAAAACAATTTCATCAATTCATTAAGTTGACGTTAGTTATAAGTAATAATATTTAAATAGGCTTACCAACCTACGCATGGGTCACTAGAAAACAATTTGTGCTTATACCTATGTGCAGATGCCCGAAGCTGCGTAACATGTGACAAGGTGCTAGAAGAGTTAGAGAAAATAGACGATGACACCGATACCTTCGGAGTGGATTTTGTGAAGATCAACGATAAGCGGCTAGCCAAGCAGTATGGCATCACGAAATTTCCCGCCCTCACGTACTTCCGTGAGAAGGAACCGATCATTTACGAAGGTGTGCTTTCTTTTATCTTATCCGCACTACCTATTTGTTGCTAAGAGATAAGTTCAGAAGATTTAAACGTTTGCTTTTTCTTGTCTGCACCTGCACAACTAGTTAGTAGGTATAATCTGTTTTTAATGTTGAACGAAAGATAGTAACAATACGTTCTGAATGGCGGCAAAGAAATGTCGAATAGCTTACATGCTTTGTGGTTAAATGCTGCTAGCGTAACACTTAACTGCCCTATTGTATAGGATTATTTGGAGGAGGAAGGAGCATGCTAGGCTGGAAAAAACCTATTCATTCTGTTCTTGAAATGACCCAAGTTATATTTGTCGCAAAAGGCAAAGAATTGAAGCATTATACATTTTCGATCATTATTGTATACGGTGATGTGTACATCGATAATAACTCCACGGTATCGTATAAAAATTCGGTCATATATAATTATTATTGAATAAACGCACCTTGTTTTTCTTAAATATGGTATTGTGCAAATTTGCAATATCGCATCTTACTGGTTATATCATTTGTAAAATTTGACAGTTCGTATGAAAATCTATTGCTTTTCATGGCAATATTAATATGCAATAAATTGCCATATTCGTCTAAATCTAAATATATTAATTCTACGAAGTTTAAAATTGCATTATTATTTCTCAATTACTTTAGGAGATCTCATGGACGAAGAAAGCGTCCTGGATTTCTTGACGAGTTTAGAAGCAATGGACCTTCCTGACCGGATAGAAGAAATCAATCAAAAGATCCTGTCGAAAATCATTGAAGACACCGATTACGTAGCTGTGCTCTTCTGTAAGTAGTTACCTTATCCCATTATTGAAGTTTGTTCTTCGTACACTTCTCAGCTATCATAGCAAATTTAAACCATTTTCTCGACTAACATTCAATACTACAGGCTGCGGCCGAACTGTAAATTTCTTTTTGTAGATCTGTAAGTAATAGTTCTTCTTTCGCCTACTTACTTGTACTTGTTAGTTGTCGAAGGTTTTATAAGAGTTGTCGTCTGTAAATTGTGCCGTGTGTTTTACTGTGTTTTTGACGTAGGTCCTGATCACGAATCTTGCGGCTCATCGAACAGTAAGTAAGATCTCCGGATGGCGGCATGCCTCCTTTTGTCCGTGTGGCTGTAACTCTTCTGGCTTCGTAGAATAGTTTATATTCCGTATAATTTATATTTCAGACGTGTTTTCCGCTTTTAACGCGAAGATTTAGGTCAGTTACGGAGACAGAATCATTGGCAGTTGAATAATAAAAGATTAACTTCAATTATCTAAATGAATTTACAGATGATGAATTCAGCTAATTAAATTTTTGGCTCGAGCACAATATATTGAAGTCGCGCAAGCGTGACTCACTAGACTAATTAAAATCGATCAATAAATCTATATACACGAACACTCACAATTTAAAGGTTTCCAACATCTCGTGCGCAGTTTCTGATATTTTTAATACGTTTGCTGCTACCCTTAGCTTCTTCAGTGTCGGAAAATCAATTTTCAATTGCAATTGTTATAATCAAATGTTTAGTTAAATTCAGAGTCAAGTGTTTAATATCCTCTCTGGTGGTAGGGAAAACTAGTATCAAAAACGAGTTTGCATTATCGGGCCGTGAGGCGAGCTATTTTGGGAGAGCTATTTGCAGCCCGCCAGCAGGCCGGGATTGACGGACCGACCTGTCACGACGACCACGTCAACCACACATTCTCGTTACTTAACGACAATAGAAAAGCCTATTAAAACTCATTCATACACAATATCCGAAACAGCTCCGTTGTATGTCCAAAGAAACTGGACGTTTGTAAACTTTTTAAAACTGAAATTTTGGTGACCTTGACCTAATTAGGTGATGGAACTCTGTCTATGAAAGCATGCCATCATATGAGCGTTGTTTACACCGCCCCTCTATTTATAATTTGATCTGGATCAAAGAAAACACTTGTCTCAATGTTCTTGTCAATAAATATTCGTGAGAAATTCTCCAGTAGAGTAGATGTGATAACAATTCGTGAACCCTGCAGATATTATATGTTTGTGAATTTAAATTAAATGTCCTACGTAAACCAATATCTCCGGATCCACGTAGCTTGTATTTCAATGACCACTAGTAGTACTTAAAATGCCACAATGCACGAGCACGACACAAGCTTCATTACCCTCACACATACGCAAACTTTTTAACACACAGGCTTAACTGCTCTGCTACAGTACTTATACGAAGCATGTCATTGGTCACACTGAACGGTGTAGACGCACCGTAGATTGATAAAACAGTAAGAACGATACTTCCGATGTTGCAGATAAGCCGGAGTGTAAAAAATGCGCTAAAGCACTTCAGGAGTTAGAAAACATCGATGATGAAGCTGACCAACTAGGAATTGGTTTTGTCAAAATCCATGATGAAGAACTTGCTGAGGAGTACAGTCTTGGAGACCTGCCAAGACTGGTGTACTACAGGCACGAAATACCTATTATCTATGAAGGTACGTGAGTCATTTTGTACGGTTTCTGACGTTTGTATTACGAAATTGAGAACGATTCGCTGATGGAAGCATTACATAAAGTTTGGTGGACGAAAACGTGATCAGTTCATTCATAAATCAAATTAATCAAGATGTTATAGAATTGGCTATCCCTCTTGTAATTAATTATCTTAGACCTGCCAAACTGACACTGAAATTACAGACACATGGGACTTGTGAAGTTATATCTCAGGGTGACGAGCGCAACGGCAGTGCACATCAGATCTTTGCCATTTAAGGTTCTGGGTGGCACTGCAACTGCTATGGATAGGGTGTGGCTTACTACCAGCCACGACTTTTTGATTTTCATTTTAGGTACTATATATTCAGATTATTCGTCCTTTACGATTTGCTTGTCTTAAATGAGTTATTTAAAATTATAGGAGAACTGAGTCGTGAAGAGGACGTGCTGGAGTGGCTGATTGCGAACAAGTCGACGGGAGACGAGGAGGACGTCATCGAAGACGTCACGGCCAAGACCTTGAATACGCTCATCGGAAATGTTGACAACCTGGTCGTACTTTTCTGTTAGTCACTTTTTAGTATGACGATTTAGATTACGATGTAAAAACCTCAAGTTACATAAATTTACGTAGCAGACTAGCAGACCAATTATGAATTGCTGAAAATCGGCTCTGAAATATGCTAAGATGTGTCAATCAACGTCACACGTCCATCTCACTACACCGGAAATTTCTGATGTCACGATGTTAAAAAAAACCTTTTCTATTTTAGTGGTTTTGTAATAATAATAAATATTATTATTATTATTATTATTATTATTTGTATTAATACAACAATTCTATAAAAATATTTGAAATGTCTTCTTCTTAACGAAATACTCTGTTCTAGTAGGTAGAAAATGTCAGGAAAATTCATGAACTAGCTGCATCTAACAATTCGTAAATTAACGATAATTTATGGCCTGTGGGTAACCTGCTTCCTTGATTACAAAGTAGGCACTATAACAGATGGGCTTGTATGAATATGTTATTGTTTTATGTTTCATACAAATGATGAGAGATAACATTACATTGCAGACGATCACGGCGACGAAGAATCAATGACAGTTCTGGGCGAGCTTGAAAAGATCGACGATGATTGCGATCGCCATGGTATTCAATTTGTCAAGATTGACGATCAGAAAGCTGCTGACGCGTTTGGTATCGACCACATCCCTGCTATCGTGTACTTTGAGAAACAGATCCCTAATGTTTACGATGGTAAGTCTATCTTTGTAGATTCTAATTTCTTGTATCAAGCGTGACAACATCGAATCCTTTTACTAAACGTTGTTCCCAATAATGCCTTAGTATGAATCACAAACAATGTAACGTAAAAAAGGGTTCAAGTCATTGTTTAAATAAACTTTGACTGAAAAATTAACTGAGCTACTGCTTTGCTTTGAAAACTTCAAATAGGTGTACTCGTAAACACCAGGGAATCTCATAAACATTAGTTACTTTTTGATGAAGTAAGTAAAGGTGCTAAAAGTTTGTTTGGTTTTAAACTTTATTGTAGTTTTTTTACGACTTGCAAAGAATTGATTTACGTTACAGATATAGACTATGTGTTTTTACATAAGAATTATGTTAAGATGTTGTACATTGCGAGGTTTTATAATAACTTTTTGCTGTTAAGAATTATTATATACATGATACAATTTAGGCGTTGATTCACAGGGCAAAGGTTACTGTGATGTGAGCTGACTTTACTTCAAGTCAAAGGAAAAGAATCATTTATTTCATAGTAAAATAAATTTACACTTAAAAACGTCAGTTTTAAACTAATGCTCGTTCACTATGCTGATTTCCCTGAGAAGAACGAGCAAGAAACTCGAGGGATTGCTCTTTTAAAATAAACTTAAATGCATGAATACACTTTGAAGCAAATTGGGGTATAGAGCCGTGTCGTCTTTCCATATATCTTTATCTAATACGTAGTCTTCAATTTTGTAATATTAATTTTCAATTTAAATATTTTTAATGTAAACTTCTTCGAAATAATATTCTTAATATATGCTCCGGAATATTATTGTAAAAACGTATACAGTTCCCCATAAAAAAAATCGTTTACCTTGGTTAATCGAAATCATGGTACCATGAGTTTGGACTTAGCTCTAAGGTTATATTATGGATATCTTCTTTCTTTATGAAATCACGTATATTTATAACTAGTATGTAAAAAAAGTTGATGCGAGACTAATGATGATTGTATATATCTACAGGTGATTTAGAGAATGAGGAAGAAATCTTAGAGTGGTTGGTAGATCAATTGGAAAAAGATGAGATTGAAGACGTCACCGATGAGATGTTGGACAAACTTATCAAAGATGGCAAAACCGTCGCTGTGTTATTCTGTACGTTACAGATACTGCCCATCAATTTTACTTATATCACGTAGGATGTACATATATGCCAATAACACACTTTCTTACGTTCACAGATGACAACAACGACCGTAAATCTCAAAAAGTACTTAACGAACTGGAAAACATCGACGATGAATGTGACCAACTTGGCATTGCGTTTGTGAAGATCGACAATGACGATGAAGCTAAAGAATACGGGATCGAAAAAGTACCTGCGCTACTGTACTTTGAAAAGGGTATACCCACTTATTATGAGGGCAATTTAGAAGAGGAAGATAAAGTCCTTCAATGGCTGCGGTACCAAATCGAGAGTGACGAAATTGAGGATATCACCGACGAAATGCTTGATATGATCATCGACAAAATGCAATACGTGGCCGTACTGTTCTGTAAGTATTTTTTTACTCCATAATAGCCTTAACATTGGCAAAGGCATTTGAAACAATGCCAGGTTCCAAATTACCTCACTCTTTCGAAATTCATTAGTGTTAAAATTAAACTAATAATTTAACGTGAACTGTTTTATCAAGAACTGACATATAAATGAAATACAGTTTTCCAAATCCATTTCAGACGACAAGGACCAGAAGAAAAGTCAAAAGATCTTGGCTGAGTTGGAGAATATTGATGATGAATGTGACCAAAATGATATAGCTTTTGTTAAGATCGATGACGACAAGGAGGCCAAGGAGTATGGCATTGAATCTATTCCCACCATGGTGTTCTTTGAAAAAGGAATTCCACATATCTATGAAGGCGACTTGATGAAGGAAGACGAACTCTTTGGTTGGTTATTACATCAGAAACGCCACAGCGAAATCCCCGAAGTTACAGATGAAATGATGGACAAGCTAATTGAAGCAACTCAATATTTAGCTGTTATTTTCTGTAAGTGCCATAATTTCAATTGTCATTATAAAATTTAGTTATCGAATATCCCTGATAGTAAGCAATAACTAAAAATATATTATAACTGTCTAATGTACTTGCTTTGCAGATGACAAAGACGATAAACAAGACATTCGAATACTTAATGAGCTAGAAAACATTGATGATGAGTTAGAAAAAGAAGGAATCGTCATCGTCAGAATGGACAACGAAGCTGAAGCTAAAGAATTTGGTATCGACCATCTACCTACTCTCGTCTACTTTGAGGAGAACATTCCTGCGATTTACGAAGGAGACCTTATGAATGAAGATGAAGTTCTTAAATGGCTTATTGAACAGAAAAACAGTGCAACTATTGAAGAAGTCACTGACGAGATCCTGACGGATCTTATTGAGGAGCATGAATACGTCGTTGTGTATTTCAGTAAGTATTTTTTTAAATGTCTTCTTTAACTAATAAGTTTCTTATTGGTAGTTTTGCATTCACGGACGTGACCAATCAACTTAACATTTGGTTATAACAATGATTTTAAATTTATTAAAAATATTTTTGAAATTTTATTTAAATTAGTTGTATCCCGCTTTTACTTTTTTACTTTGTTAATTTATTATTATACTCATGACTATAATCTATAATACATTCAAGGTGGCAACTGCGAGGAAGGCGAAGAGTGTGACAACATATTGGATGAGTTAGAGAATATAGACGACGAACTTGACGAGACCGGCATCATTTTCGTCACAACAGAAGATATTTCGTTGGCTAAGAAATATGGCATCAAGACTTTCCCTACACTTGTGTTTTTCAGGAACAAAGACCCACTTATTTACAAAGGTATGTTTTTGTATATTATGTCCTTGTTATGATGGGCTTAAATTGTTAAATTGTTGTTTCGAAAGAAAAGTCGATTTGACCCTCTTGGGTCTCTCTCGAATTGGCTTTTCTTTTCTACAAGGGGCAGGGACAACAAGAAGCATTAATCAATAATAACAATGAAGACGTACTGAATCTTAAAAGAAAGCCATCGAGAATAAAATAAAATCTTTGATCAAGTACCCCCTGTTCTTGCAATTAAAACATGGAAAAAATGTTTACATTTCAGGTGACATTGAGGATGAAGATGAAGTGCTGTCCTGGCTGACTGACGAAAACACTTTGGAAATCCCTGGAAAAATTGAGGAAGTCAATTCCAGAATGTTGGACAAGATTCTTGAGGAAAACGACCATGTTGTTGTTTTCTTCTGTAAGTATTAATTTTATAGCTGATGCAGAAATGTCTTTTTTATTTTACTGTATTCTAAACGACAAACATTCTTGTTTACCTATATATAACAATTAGACTTACTAAAAACAGTGATTGAAGTATATATTTACATGCAATCAGTTTTGTCTGACACATGTCAGCACTTACATCACTAAGAACCTAGGAAATTTACATTTTTGGTAGGCTTAACTGTCATGATTTTATTTCTGAAAAATACATGTTTACAGACGTGGAAGGTGACAAGAAGTCACAAAAGATATTAAGTGAACTGGAGAACATCGACGACGAGTGTGAAGAGAAAGATATTGACTTCGTTAAGACATCTGACGAAGGAATTGACAAGGAGTATGACTTGCCAGATCTACCAGCATTGGCTTTCTACAGACACAAATTTAGGACGATTTATGAAGGAGATCTAATGCATGAAGAAGATATTTTGAAGTGGGTATTAGAAATACAAGATTCTCAACCTGATGTCATTGAAAGTGTTGATAGGAAAACTTTGAAGGATCTTATTGAAGATGTAGAACATCTTGCCGTATTTTTCTGTAAGTATATTTTTGTAAATTCTTTTTTTTTTGTAGTCGATAAATGTTTAGAATTTTCTTAAAAATATGGTGGTGTCAAGAGTCAAATATGCCATCGCTGTTCGGGTCAAGTTCAATTTGAAACTTGATAAATAAAAGGTTTTGTTAGTACATCCGCTAAAATATTAACACGACAACAAAAAAGTCTAATCGTTTCCATGTAGTAATCAAAACACACAAGGCTTTTCTGGTAAAACGTTATAAATAAGTCTTTTTCTACACGATATTTCCGTTGACGTGTTTTGTGCTACAGAACAATGGTTGAAAGACTACGAAGCAATTAACGTAGAAAATAAATTATGTAATAGACAGTTCGTTCATAAGAAAGAACTTAAGTAGTGGCGGATCTATTATTATTAAACGTACCTTAAAATTTAAAGGGCGAGACTTGTGATGTCCTTATGACATCACAAGTCTTTCTGTTGAACGGATTATTGAGATTTCATATGTGAAATTGGATCAGTTCTACTACCTTCAACGAGTTTGAATTAATCATGGAATATTTTCCATGAAACTATCGTTAAAGCGGATTTTTTCCAACCAAAACATTGACTTACAAATAAATGGACGACGGGTCTAATACATATATATACGAGTATATACATAAAAAATGTCCCAAGTCAACCTATACGAAATTTAAATTGTAATGTCATCGCAGTATCGCGCTGTCAGTCGAACAAATGAAGACTAAAGCGGAGTTTGGCGCTCTGTATACGATTTTAGCGCCTTACAAGTGCGGACTCTTTTTAGCGCGGACCCGACGTCCATATAATTGTAAGTCAATGAACCAAAAAAACTGTAGTAGTATGTGCAGATTTCAATGTCAACCTGTAGGAAAAGTGTTCCAATTCTGTAAGACTCATCAATTTATTTAAAAGTTCTAACTTGGAAATGAAACTATTTTTCCGGATTTAAATCGCGTATATTTGTTTTTTCAAACAAACCGACGTTTCGGGCCCTTTACAGGTCCCATGGTCACGGTTGACTGAGGTGGTACAGTCTTCAACCAGTTATGTCTAATATTAATGCAAACCCTTTTTTTTTTCACTATAGTTACAATAGTTATTAATTAAATACCTTATTTTTAATTTTACAAAGAAAACATTCCAATTTACGCTACATTAAGTTTTACAAATTATTTTATTGAAAGAATTTTTATTAAGTTTAATTTATTATTAATTATTAATCGAAATTAGAATAAACTAAAACATATTAATTAGTACTGCAGTCTTATGTCTGTTTGGAATTTTCATTAGAGGAAATACTGGATCCCAAACTGGTGGTACTTGGTACTTGGTGTAACGGGCTAGTGTCCGCAACTCGACGTCAAGGCGCCTATTTTGCGTATAAACTGGTGGTACGGAGAAACCACCTTCCTTGTTGAAATTAGGATGTTTTTTAATTTCAATGGCCTCTCGCAGCATCCTGGGTAGATAACGGACTTCTTTTGCAAGGACCTGGGGTTTATCAAACTTCATTGAATGTGTAGGTTTATCCATGACATGCTCGCAGACTGCAGACTTGTTTACGCGACGGTGTTTGACATCAGCTATATGTTCTTTGACGCGGATACAAATACTTCGCTTTGTTTGTCCAATATAAGAGAGACCACACTCACAGTCAAGCTTGTAAACTCCTGAATCCTGTAAGGGGATGTTACAGTTCACGGGTCTCAGGAACTGAGAAATCTTCCTCAGGGGCTTGAAATAGGTCTTGATAGGTGCACGACAGAGGACTCTTCCGATCTTGTCTGTAACACCTCTCACGTAAGGTAAGATGGCAGGTCTTCACTCGATTGTTTGTGGTTTCACACGGGGCCTGCGGCATTGGCGTGGAATCTTCAACTTATTCGCATGTAGGACTTGCTTTATTGCTGAAGTTCCCCCACCAGATGATTACTGTCGCAGACACCATATGCTCTCTGAAACAAAGATTTGCCCACGGTAGCTAACTGGCTAGGATGGTGATGGGAATTACCATTGAGATACCTATCTGTATGGGTTTTCTTTCGAAATACAGTATGGCCTAAGGTGTTATTAGGATTTCTTTTAATTAAAACATCTAAGAAAGCTAAAGTACCACAATTCTCTTGTTCCATAGTAAATTGGATCTTAGTACTAAAAGAATTAAGATGGTCCAAGAAAGAAGGTATGCTATCTTTAGGTGATATTGTGAAAGTATCATCAACGTACCGTTTGAAAATCTTCGGCCTAGCTGGGGCCATGGGTAAAACTCGCTCCTCGAAGTCTTCCATGAAAATATCGGCAACAATCGCTATACCGTCAATTTGTAGGTAGAATTCATTATTCCACAATAGATAGCCTGATGTTAGGCAGTGTTCTAATAATTTTGCATATTCAATGGACATATTATGTTCCCTCAGCTTTCTACGTACAATTTCAATGCAGTCTTTTACTGGTAGGTTGGTAAACAGCGACTGAACATCAAAACTGACCATGGTGTCATCACCAGTTAACCGTAGATCTTTGATTCCACTGATGAAATGGAATGAAATCCTTCACACGTGTAGAAGTGTTCCCTCTCAATGGTGACAGTACCTTTGCCATGTGTTAAGCCAGTTTGTAGGTTGGTGTATCAATCTGGTTAACTATGGGACGGAGTGGGGTGTCAGCCTTATGTATTTTTGGTAACCCATACAGTTTTGGTGGTTTTACAGAGCAGGGTACAAACTCACTTACATCAAGTTTCAGCGTATCGGAGTGCTTAGATATTAAGTTAGTTGTTGTTTTTAATATCTTGGTGGTAGGATCTTTCTTCACTTTTTTATATGTGCTTTCATCCGATAGTAAGTCAGTTATTTTGCTGTTATAATCTGACGTATTCATGACCACAGTCGCGTTATTTTTATCTGAACGGAGGATGACTAATTCAGGAACTTCGCGGAAGGTCTTCAGCGTCTTATATTCATCTCGAGTAAGATTCGGTGTGGGCTGTTTATTTGAACGCAATATTGACGAAACGTCTTGGCGTATTGCCTCCAAATCTTCGTTTCTCATGTTGTTTTTAACTAGACAATCCTCAACGTTACAAATAATTTCTTCGTATGGAACACGACGAGGAGCCACTGCGTAATTCAAACCCTTTTGCAAAACTATTTATTATGGATTTAAATCCGGAAAAATAGTTTCATTTCCTATGTGTAACAATCGCGAAAACCTAAGAGTTCTAACTTGATTAATATGTTCTTAGAACCAATTTACACCATTACCTCTTCTTCTACTTGTATTGATAACGTTTTTTGCAACATAGACGCAGTGTTTAAATCAATAATAAATTGCTTAAGATCAGACCATAGTGACCAATTGGCTATTTAATTGCAAAATGAGCAAGACGGTAGATCAATTTCTCTGCAGAGCGATTGCCAAATAACGAATCATTCGATTTCAAAATAATATCGGCAATAGTTTAAATTCCCGACCTCATATACCGGAGGTTCCTAATATTTCATACAGCACTATATTGAGTTCAATTAAAAATTTATTTGATAATGGTATTTAAAACGAAAACATACAATAATAATAAACAAACTTTGCATGACTAAATTCCACAACTGGGCAACAGTAGGCATTTATAAAAGTAGGTCTCGTTTGTACACGTATGTGCTATACGCCATGAAAATTTATAATACCAATTCCAATTTTATAAAATGTTACAAATTATTCAAAAATATGTAAAAAAAGTATATGTAGCTGCTAAGGTTAAGTTTCACAGCGATAAACTGAGACAATCGATAAATAAATTAAAAAGAATCTACTTGAAGCATAATAAATAAATTGTCAGGCAGGGTTAAACAACAACCTGATAGAGATATAGTTCTGCCCTCGTAACGAAAAAAGACACAACTATGCGTACTTTATACGACAGTTGTGCCCTTTTACGTTCCGAGGACAGAGTTCTAGAATTAGACGGCAAACTTATAAAATCTAAAGATGAGGTAGCCTAAGCTTTTGAAACGTTCTTTTCGGAAGTCGCTGTGAATACTACAGAATCATTAAATTCCTCCTCTTCTCGTGCTATTGGTCTCCTAAAGGAAAATGTTAATGTCAGTGGCAGTGTATTTAATTCCATCATGTTAATCCACAGGAAATAATCAAAGATTTTAAATCAATGCATGTTAAAAAACTGAACATCTGTAAACATATCAACTAAAGTTATAGACTCAGTAATTTGTCTAATTTTCCCACATTTAGCTATTGTTTTCAATAGGTGCGTCGACGAAGGTATCTTTCCTGATTTGATGAAATACAGCAAGGTTATTCCTATATTCAGAAGCAGTAGGAAAGTTGATCCTAGCAACTTTAATTTCGAAACAATTATGCTGACTCAATTACTATCCTATTTCATTTGGAATCATATTTTTCATAGTGAACAATACGGGTAGCGTTATTGAAACACATTTTTTATGTTTGGGAAAGGCCCCAGAACGCTGTGGTGTTTTCTGTGACGTGTCAAAGGCGTTTGATTGTTATAATTATTAATACAAAGATCGAACACAGAAAAAACACTCAGAAAAAATTCCTTCGATCCGGCCGGCACGGTATGCAAGAAGACGTCGGTTCGAATCCGACCGGATCGAAGGAATTTTTTCTGAGTGTTTTTTCTGAGTGTTCGATCTTTGTACCAATAATTATAACAAACTAGTGGAGCATTTGATTGTGTTGATCATATTAGTCTTGTTAAGAAGCTGGAATATTACGGTGTAAATGGCAAGGCGGTGGAATTTATCTCGTCATATGTCAACAGTAGAATTCAGAAAGTAGACATAAAAGGAGTGACTTCTTTAGATTCTCCAATAAAAATGTATGTTCCGAAGGGCTCAATACATGGACCTTTCTTATTTCTGATTTATATTAATGATCTGCAATTCGTTGTTAAGGACCATTGCGAAATAGTATTGTTTGCATGATGACATGCATGGATGACATGACGACATCTTTAATTTTTAAAACAGACAGACTTGACGTTAACTGTGACCATGTTAACGATACCCTCTCTAAGGTAGTTTATTGGTTTGATGCTAACAATTTATTGCTTAATACCAAGAAGATGAAGTGTGTTAAATTTGAATAATCTGACGTAAAACCGACTAGTCCAAGCATAGAAATAAACAGAGAAAAGTTAGATCTTGTTAATAAAGCAGTCTTCTTGGGAGTGACCTTAGATATTAAACTTCAATGGTTTCCACATATATCTTCCCTGGCCAGCAGACTAAGGTCCGCTGCATACGCAGTTCTCAGAATACGTGAGCTTACCTATGTTAGTACTGCTAGACTAGATTACTTTAATTACTTAGATAGTATAAGATCCTACGGGATTTCCATATGGGGTAAAGCGGCAGACATGGGTATACAAAGCATATTTGTATTGCAAAAACGAGCGATTCGTTCTGTTGACGTACCGTACCGTTTAGTTTCTCGGGTTTCTCTCAGAGAAAAGTTTAAGGAGACTGGTATCATGACTGTGGCATCACAGTACATTTGCTCAAATATTTTATGTGCCCGTAAAATATACATAATTATCATATCATAATTTCATTATGAAAGAAGATGTCCATAATATTAACCTTAGAGCTAAGTTCAAACTCATGGTACCACGATTTCGTTTAACCAAGATAAACGACTTGGGGAACTGTATACATATTTACTATACAATTCCAGAGCGTATAATATTATGATTATCATTTCCTAAGTTTAAAACCTACATTAAAAATATATTAATTGAAAAGTCATATTACAAAATTGAAGACTACGAGTTATATAAAGATGTATGTATCGAAAGACGACATGGCTCTAGATTCCACACAAATTTGATTCAAAGTGTAAAGTGTGAAAAGAGGAATCCCTAGAGTTTCTTGCTCGTTCTTTTCAAGGAAGTCAGTACAGTGAACAAGATAAATATATGTAGATCATATAACTTTTTCTCCCAGCCCGGGAATCGAACCCGAGACCTCTGCGTGGCAGACCAGTTTGGTAACCGTTCGGCCACAGAGGTAGTTAGTAAATGATTATTTGACTTTGATATCCTGCGTTCAATTACCTTTACCTATAGTAGGTGTATGTACATTATTCTCAGTTAACTTTTTGTTTACAGACAGTGACGATTGTGATTGTATGTACATTATTCTCAGTTAACTTTTTGTTTACAGACAGTGACGATTGTGATACCTGCGATGACGTACTGGAGGAATTAGAAACAATTGACGATGATACTGACAAATATGACATTCAGTTTGTTAAGTCAAAGGATTCAAAATTGGCGTCAGATATTGGTATTTTCAGTTTCCCAGCCCTAGTCTATTATGAGACTGGGGTACCAATCATGTATGATGGTAAGTTACATTTTAGTATTTTAATGTTTAATATTAAATCGTGTTTATACAGTGTTAGACAACCACACCAATTACCTGATCTCAAACTAAGTATCAGGGCAACGAAATGGTCCGGACCGACCTATTATCACAGACCATTCAAATCAGATCCAATTTAGAAAAGATCGTTTCTCAAATTGATCTTACCTGGAATCGAACCTGAGACGTTTTAATTTAGCAGTATACTGCAAACCTCTAGGCCGCTAAGGTTGTCAAATGATATACAGGTTCGGATGCTGAAAATATATTGACAATGAAATTCAGGTACATTATGGAGGTATATATTACGTGTTATATAGAATGAATGTAAATAATTGTCATGAAGAATATTATTTCAGTGCCTACAGTACTGCATGAGTGCAAAATGATAAGAGTTGATAACCTAGTAATTTTCTTTAAATTATAATTATTATAATACTTTCATCCTGTTTATAGGTGACTTAAAGAACGAAAAAAAGGTTCTGCAGTGGCTAATTGATCAAAAAAGTAAGAATCCACATCCATTTATAAATCTTTTATGTCCGTCTAAAGACTTGTTAGATTTAATTATTATTTAAAAAGTATATAAAAGACGTACGTGCATGACATCATTCTTGATAATATGCTGTACAAATAAGTTATTATTTTACGCCTTAAATGCTGGATGTTTGAGCTATGTCATTTTGCATGACAGTTACTAATGCCTGCAGGTGAAGATAGCCACCGCCAAAAAACTAAAGCTAATCCTAAATCGAAGGCCAATGCAGATGTTAAAAAAAGCTTGGGGATCTCGCGGTCTAAGGATACTAATGACAGAAAGCCAGCTCCCAAGAATGTCAAATCCGCTGAATGGAAAACTATAGGCACATTAAAAATCAGATTTCCTGGCACGATTGATCCAAAGCATCGCGGTGATAGCAAAATGTACAAGAGAAAAGAAGACGACAATGACGACGACGTGGATGACGATAATGATGATGATGATGATGATGACGAGAATGATGACGGCGATGACGACGATGACGGCGATGACGGCGATGACGACGATGACGAAGATGACGATGATGACGATGATGATGATAACAAAGGCGACAAAAAAATTGATTACAAAGCTCAGTTGTTAAAAATAAAAAATAGAATAAATAGATTGCAAACTCCGGGAAAACATGCGACTTGGAAGTCAGTTGGAAAATTAAAAATACGCTTTCCCGGAAAGAAAGTAGGAGGCAAATACGACGATGATGACGATGATGATGAGGGCAATAACGACGACGACGATAATGATGACGACGATGACTATGATAATGACAAAGAAAAGGTAAAACAGCGGAAAGGGGATAAAGGAAGTAAAAAAGTAGGTAAAGTTGCTAGTCGTCGCAGTAATAACAGAGATAACGATGACGATGATGATGACGACAACGATGATGACGACGATGATGACGATGATGATGACGATGATGACGACGATGATGACGACGATGATGACGACGATGATGACGATGACGATGACGACGACGACGACGACGACGACGAGGACGATGACGACGACGACGACGACGACGACGACGACGACGACGACGATGACGATGACTATGATAATGGCAACAGAAAGCGACGGAAAGGGGCTAAACATAAAGTAGATAAATCCCTCCGAGATCGTAGTAGGAAACATGATGATAGTGACAACAATGACGATGATGACAATGACGATGATGACAACGACAATGAGGATGACGATGATGATGACGACGACGACGATGATGACGACGATGATGATGATGAAGACGATGACAATGATGACGACGACGAAGAAGAAGATGATGATGACGACGACGGCGATGTTGATGGTGATGACGATGATGAAGATGATGAAGAAGATGACGACAAACAAGACAAAGGCAAACGGCGGAAAGGGGCTAAACCAAAAGTAGGTAAACCCATTCTGCGTCGGAATAGGAATGATGATGATGGTGACGACGATGACGACGAAGATGATGATGATGATAGTTTTTTTGGTAGAATAAAAAGAATGTTCACAGGTAATGAATAGTGTTGACCCTCGAGAGGTGACCCTGCACGGAGGCACGGATACCCCAGTTAGCGTCACACATCTGCATGGTCGAATAATGGAGCCCGCATGGGACCCACTTTCCAGCTGTCGCCTGCAGTCATTCGCGGACGCTTTCCGATTTAAATGTTTTCTTATTCTTACTAACAATTCATACTAGACTTAATAGCGCGCATAACATAGGCGCATATAAAATATGCACAGTTATTAACTCGCAGTTAACTTTCGTGTGATTATCATGTCTACCGGATATAAACATTAGATTTTTACTGACTGCAGGCGATCGCTGTTTCTACATTGGATTGGGGGCGAAACCGGCTGTCCCAAAAATGACTTACGAACCCTACCAGTGCTGTCCCACTAAAGTTCAGAGTCCGACCAAAGTTGCTAAAGCGACGCCGACTAAGCAGCCGTCCAAGAAACTCGACAAGGGCAATCCGAGACCGCCTCTTCAGATGCCGCCGGCAAAGGGCAAAAGCAAAGCGCTCACAGTCAAACCGGATAAAGGCGGCAAAGGAAAAAAAGGTTTATTCGACACTGAGAATTGGTGGTGGTAAATTATTCTGTTACGATGACACTTGCACTAGTATCGGAGATATTATTGCAAGACGGATCGTGCATGCGAGGCGTCAAGCGGACACGAATGTTATCATCTCACAAGTCCTTGCAGAGTTCTCTTTCACCTCTGTTATAGCTTAATCAAATAGACTAGTCTAACGATGCATCGATTGCCATGGCACCTTAACATTGCTAGCTTTATAACCTCGTGTCCCTTGATCCCCGCAAGCACTTAACATTTGATGTTGTACTTTCGTGTTGCTCATGGACTGTATTCACTTGCAATGCATAGCATTGCTCACTCGTTGCTTCTCTGAGGTATTTTTTTATATTCTTTATATTACATTGTAAACCATATCGAAGAGTTTACTCTGGGGCCCCCACCTCAGGAGAGAAATGAATGAGCTTCATATATAAATTTAGCTTAACTCTTGGACAATGTAGCAGGCGTCTTGAAATTATGCAAGAGACGTGAATACATTTCATAAAGATTTATCCTTTTCAAAGTATTGTCCATTGCAATACTCGTTAATGTACCTACTATAAATTCAAGAACATGGCGGTGACTAAATATTGGAACGTCTAGAAACATAATAAGCAGGTGTACAAATCGTTAAATATGATGTTGAATTGACCAATATTTAGAAATTAAAAGTGAGAAGTATAACAAATTGAAGGCATTTCTTAATTGTATTTTGCCATGCCATCTTGAAAGACTTATTGTTGTAAGGATTTCATGTTCATATAGTTTTCTAGTCTTCATGGAATCTCATTATTTTGTAATACGTAATCGTACTCTACATTTGTTAAACTATTATTTTAAAGAATATAAAATAATAGATTTTCTTTAATTTTTTTTCTATTAATATTGACAAACACAATGCCAGATATTATATAAATGCAGTGAATACTATTATAACATTTCGTTCGTCTTTTCTATACTTCGATAATGTTAAGGGTCAGGAATCGAGCCTATACCATCTGCTATTTTAGGTCTGGTGGTTTGTACGGTTTTCACTTTGAGGTTCATGAATAACAGGAGGTCCTATAAATCACCAGTTGTGTTCCTTCCTAGTATGCGTAGTTATGAGATGATTTGATAAATTATCTACGTGCGCTATAACTGCTAGGAACAAGTTTTTGAACAGTGCTGGCGTTGTGTGACAATTTGTCGATATGTAAGTTGTAATGTTTGGCCGAAAATTCGCATGGATGTTATTTATTAATTTATTGTTACGTTGAATTGTTGAGTCAGCGCTGGGTCAATATTTTTTTGTTGAATAAATACTTTTTTCTATTAAATATTTTTTGTCATTACACACACACGAATGATGTCAGCATGGTATTGCTGTAGTTGTATCCGAGCATGACCTTTATTGGATGTAAAGCTGGTGAGTTTCAAAATATAATAAAATGGATGTGGTTTCTTTTTACATAATTTTGTAAATATAGGTCTTTCAGCATGGAAAATAACTATGGACACATTTTAGGAAACCTATTGGACGAGCACGAAGTGTTAGATTGGATGATTAAACAGAAAGAAGATGAAAGTATAGAAGAAATTGATAGAGAAAAATTATTCAAATATATTGAGACTAAGGAATTTCTGGCTGTTGTTTTTTGTAAGTTTTGAATAAAAGTCATACATTTTGGCGTCGTTTATTAGTAAATAGTCACGCAATGTATTTTTAATTTACAGATAAGGAAGAAGATCCCAAGAGTCCACAAATTCTAAGACATGTTGAATTAATTGACGATGAAGCCTCTGAATATGGAATCAAAATTGTTAAATGTGCAGACCGATTAATGGCCAAAAAATATGGATTCCGAAATCCACCTGGAATAACATATTTCAGAAAAGGAAAGTACATCAACTATGACGGAGATATGGATGATGAAGAAGAGATATTGGACTGGCTTACAAATCCAGATAATATGGAGCTTACAGATCATATAGAGAGGGTCAACAGGAAAATGTTCCAGAAGATAAGACAAACGTCAGATTATGTTGCCGTGTTCTTTTGTGAGTAAACGATAATCTTGCATTTAAATAGGAGCTGAAACTTTAAATTGTTTTAAATTTAAATAGAACGGTAAACTAAATATCATCCACTTTAATAATTGTGATTATTTTTGTCAATTATTCATATTTTTGGTCTGAAAGTTTCAAATATATTTCTGCAATTCCAATTGTATTGCACATATGACATGTTTTAGACAGTAATGACTGCAAACAGTGCCCTAGAGTGCTGATGGAGATTGAGCACATTGATGACGACGCAGATGGCGCTGGTATCAACTTCGTAAAGATTGACGACAAACAGATGGCTAAAGAATATGGTGTATTTGCTCTGCCTGCTGTACTGTTCTTTAAAATGGGTTCTAAAGATCCTGTTATTTATGCTGGTAATTTTGTTTTTGTGTACAATTAATATACTCGTACGCAGTAAGAATACAGAAAAAATTATGTTTACAAATATGTGAGGATTTTATAATGTAATTTACTGCTTGACTCCACTGGATTCAGTTCCGGAAGCGGTTGATCACGTGTACGTACTGAAACTAACAATCTGAGAATTGGTTTGAATTGCTTTTTAGGTGACCTTTATGATGAACAACAGCTGTTAAGTTGGTTATTAACCCAAAAAAACCCATCTGGAGATGTGATAGAGGCATTAGAAGGCGAAGAACTGATAAAAACGATTGAAGAGTCCGGATCACTGGCCGTTTACTTCTGTAAGTGGCTACCTTAATCAAAATTCACATTTTAGTGTACAAATGCCACAACACAAAATTGAGAGAGAACAATTATATTTGTACTTTTATTACGATAGCTGACTGACACTTCCTCCACATATGATTTTTTTTTATTAAATAATTACTAATAGATGCAGTATGTGTCAGTATCCCAGTACAACATTACAAATGCAATATGTTCATTGATAACTGGGATATTGAAATCTTGATTTGATAAGACTACTGAATTATCCATATCTACTTTCTTGAATTCCAAAATGTCTGCAAATAAGTATTCCAATTGGCCGTTTATGAAGCTTATTGTGATTGTGGTGTTATGCACTACTTCCATCGATTGTTTTTGTATAATTAACACGCTTAACTATAACAGCAACACCGAATCCAAAAATGGTACTTCAAAATACTAATACTCTTGCTTTTATTAGGGAACAAAACGTTGTGCGAAATTTGCAATTCGAAAGCGATGAGAAAGGCGATGAAAAAGAAATTAAAAGAAATCGAAGAGGAAGAGGGTGCAGAAGAGGGTACAGCTGTCCCTTATACGAGTCGTTGACCCTTTGACATTCCGTACTTAAAACCAAACAATATCTGTTTAGCTAATTGTCTATCGTAGAACATTAAACTTCACATAATTTATGACAGTTTCAATAAACTTACTCTTTATGATAGTGAAAAGCCATGTAGATATATTTTCTTGCAATACACTTGAAGATATTTGTAATATCTTTAAAAAACTTTAAACGTTGACTTGTGAAATAATGTATTTTACGTCGTTCCTAAATAAATTACGTTACGAGTTCTTAGGTTTTCGCGATTGTTACACAGACGAAATGAAACTATTTTTCCGGATTTAAATCGCGCATATTTGTTTTTCAAACAAACCGACGTTTCGGACCCTTTACAGGTCCCATGGTCACGGTTGACTAAGGTACAGTTTTCAACCAGTTATGTCTAATATTAATGCAAACCTCCCTATTTTTTCATTATAGTTACAATAGTTATTAATTAAAAAGCTTATTTTTAATTTTACAAAGAAAACATTCCAATTTATGCTACATTAAGTTTTACAAATTATTTTATTGAACGAATTTTTATTAAGTTCAATTTATTACTAATTAATAATAGAAAATTAGAATAAACTAAAACATATTAATTAGTACTGCAGTCTTATGTCTGTTTGGGATTTTTCATCAGAGGAAATATTGGATCCCAAACTGGTGGTACGGAGAAACCATTTTCCCTGTTCAAATTAGGATGTTTTTTTAATTTCAATGACCTCTCGTAGCATCCTGGGTAGATAACGGACTAATTGCAAGGACCTGGGGTTTGTCAAACTTCATTAATGTGTAGATTTATCCATGACATGCTCGCAGACTGCAGACTTGTTTACGCGACGGTGTTTGACATCAGCTATATGTTCTTTGACGCGGGTACAAATACTTCGCTTTGTTTGTCCAATATAAGAGAGACCACACTCACAGTCAAGCTTGTAAACTCCTGCATCCTGTAAGGGGATGTTACATTTCACGGGTCTCAGGAACTGAGAAATCTTCCTCAGGGGCTTGAAATAGGTCTTGATAGCTGCACGCCTGAGGACTCTTCCGATCTTGTCTGTAACACCTCTCACGTAAGGTAAAATGGCAGGTCTTCGCTCGACTGTTGGTGGCTTCACACGGGGCCTGCGACATTGGTGTGGAATCTTCAACTTATTCGCATGTAGGCCTTGCTTTATATGCTGAAGTTCCCCTGCCAGATGATTACTGTGGCAGACACCATGTGCGAGAGGCCATTGAAATTAAAAAAACATCCTAATTTGAACAGGGAAGATGGTTTCTCCGTACCACCAGTTTGAGATCCAGTATTTCCTCTGACGAAAAATCCCAAAGAGACATAAGACTGCAGTACTAATTAATATGTTTTAGTTTATTATAATTTTCTATTATTAATTAATAATAAGTTGAACTTAATAAAAATTCATTCAATATAATAATTTGTAAAACTTAATGTAGCGTAAATTGAAACGTTTTCTTTGTAAAATTAAAAATAAGCTATTTAAATAATAACTTTTGTAACTATAGTGAAAGAACAGGGTGGTTTGCATTAATATTAGACATAACTGGTTGAACACTGTACCTCCTCAGTCAACCGCGACCATGCGACCTCTAAAGAACCCGAAACGTCGGTTTGTTTAAAAAAACAAATATACGCGATTTGAATCCGGAAAAATAGTTTCATTTCCTATGTGTAACAATCGCGAAAACCTTAGAACTCGAAATGTATTTTATTGTTGAGTTTTACGACTTACTTTGCTAAACAGATATTTTCTTGGCTAAAAATTCCTTTATTTCGTCTATTTCTGTTTATTAATTCTTATTGTCGTGCATGTCGCATGTTTCAATAAGTGTGCTATTTATAATGTTTTACAAAATTCAAATATTTTTAATAGCTGTTATGCGTGTGTTCATCTAGTCAAATATCCTTAGCACCTACATTGTAATTTAGGTTTTGTGATCCCTTAAATGTTTGCTCCACGATGATATGTGTACAGATATTATCGCACCTTGGTTTTTCAATGTAGAGGTTGAGACATCTACCGTTATATTTAAGAATGTTCATTCACTCTCACTTTAGACATTTCGTCCACCAAGTAAAATGTGCGTCACCTCGCTATAACAACACAAATAATAAAGTTGGAATTTTCAGATGGTCCCGACTGCGAACAGTGCATCGGGATCCTTGAAGAACTAGAGAATATTGACGATGATTGCGATAGACATGGAATTAAATTCGTCAAAACACAAGACTACTCCATTGCTGAAAGTTATGGTGTTACCGATTTTCCTGTGTTGGTATATTTTGAAAACAATATACCGAATGTGTATGAAGGTTCTTTAGCGGAGGAAGAAGAGGTGTTGCAGTGGCTGATAACCCAAAAAACAGAGGATCGTATAGAGTTGATAACGAGAGTTATGTTAGAAAAAATGGTTGAAGAAACGCAATATCTAGCAGTTTATTTCTGTAAGTACTACTGAAATAGTCAATTTTTTTGACCAATATAACTTTCAAAAACTCATTACATTTGTTTTAGACAAACTAAATTGTCACATCTGCGACCACATTTTGGAAGGACTGGAGAAAATAGATGATGAATGTGATGTCTTTGGTATTCACATGGTCAAGATCCAAGATCCTCAGCTTGCTAAACGATATTCCATAAAAACTTTCCCAGCTATGGTTTACTTTAGGTAAGAGAAACATATATACATACCGCTTCGGTAGCGTAAAAGAAATAATTTAACTATTAATACAAAGATCGAACACTTGGAAAATATTCCTTCGATTCGGCTGGATTCGAACCGGCGTTTTCTAGCAAACCGTGTCAGACGGTATGCCAACTAAGCCACGGAACGAACCAGAGCCAGGGCTGGTAGCTGTAAAGTTACCTAACTGATTGACGAAATACTTTCATAGATTTCTTATAGATGAAGCTGCGGCTAAAAAGTAGTTGAAAACCAAATACAAAAATCAAACAACGAGCACAGAAAAATTCGTGAGGTCCGCTGGTTCGTTCCGTGGCTTAGTTGGCATAGCGTCTGGCACAGTTTGCTAGAAGACATCGGTTCGAATCCGGCGGGATCGAAGGGTTTTTTTCTAAGTGTTCGATCTTTGTATTAATAATTATAACAAACTAGTGGAGCAATTACACAAAAAATAATTCAATATCAATTCAATACAAATTTAGAAACAATTTAATGCAAATCATTTACGTAGATAGTTCTAAATCTCAATTGATTTGTTGTAACAGAAATGGCAACCCACTCTTATTCGAAGGTGACCTACAAAATGAGGAGTCAATCCTTGAATGGTTGATAGACGATGACAACCGTGAATTAGCAGATGAAATCGAATCAGTCAATGAAAGAATGTTGGAAAGATTGCTGCACGAATCTCATTTGCTTGTTGTGTTCTTCTGTGAGTATGATTTGAATACGTAATATCTAATGAAATGGAAATATAACAAAAAGTAATTAGCGTTATGAATATAAATAAATAGGTAGTTACAAACATTTTTTTATTGCAGATGACGAAAAGGATTGCCCAGAGTGTGAAGAAATCCTTGAATCTCTCGAACAAATCGACGGAGAAGTTGACCAATTTGGCATAGACTTCGTCAAAATCGCTAGCCCAGAAGCAGCAGCCAAATACAATATCGTCAACATCCCTTCACTTTTGTATTTCCGTAAACAAGTACCGATGCTGTATGATGGAGATCTGCTGCAAGTCGATAGAGTACTTCAATGGTTGACTTCTCAAGATGTTTTTGAAATAAAAAACGAAATTGAAGAGGTAAACCGTAAGATGTTAGATAAACTGTTGGAGGAAAACGAGTTTTTGGCTGTCTACTTTTGTAAGTATCATTAAAATAGTATTAGGTAAGTACGTACAAATTTTATCTATTGGCATCGATATAAACGATCGTTATTGATTACTTAATACTTTTAGATGAGAAGTCAGCCGAAAGCCGAGCAGTTTTAGACAAACTGGAAAACATTGACAGCGAAACAGATAACTTGGATATCACATTTGTAAAAATGCAAGATCCTCGATATGCACGCAAGTGGGGTGTTACCAAATTACCGGCTATAGTTTACTTCAGGAAGCGATTCCCTAGCATATTCAGAGGTAAGACCTCAGACATTTTCAACACTTCATAGGATGAATTACAATAAACATGTGCGTCATAGACAATTTTTTTGTTTGCCGCAGGTGACCTCATGAACGAGGACGAAGTACTAGAATGGCTGCGGAAAAACAGATTTAGGCAGCCAGAGCTCAATATATTCATGTACGCATTGATTGCTTTATCAATAGCGTTCGTCTTGTACACAGCGTTCTTATTACAGTGCTTTAAGCCAGCGCCGCCGGCGCCAGCGCCGCACCCGAAGCAACAGTGACACTTATATAGACTTTTTAATGTTGTCTCTCTCGAATCGTGACTACGTGAGACGATGAACGGTTCCACTTTTGATTCCATTTTGTTTATGACAATTATAAATTATTTGACGCTCAAAGTGTTGTGAATGTAACATTTATTGATAATATATTTTTACAAATATATGTTGCTATGAATATTGAAATCCATTTCCGTTAAAATCTTTACTTACAAATGGATTCTGAAGTAGAATCAAAAGTCGAATGATACGTAACATTGTCTTAGCGTGATATGTATGGAATCTCGTTACCGAATCTTCTAGAAAGTTTTATAGACGACGTACGGTTCTATTTAGACGCTACAAATTCTTGGGATCAAACATTTGATAGAGATTTTAGAATAAAACTTCTGAAATGTGTAGGACTTTAAATCTTTGGTAGTAAAGGCCTATTTTATTATGGGTAATACTTAGGTTTTCGGGAAAGCCAAGCGGCAATCAAATCTATGGTACATTTTTTAGGACTACTACAACCACCTTGTTCTGATATTGTAGAACAGGAATAGGAAATTGTAGATTTGTGAACTCTATGGTTACTGTATTTCTTACTATATAAACAGTATACAGGATCGATATTTATTGTTTAAGACAGTTTTTCTAGGGATATGATTCACATTTGACATTGCGTACTAATAACGGTATTTCATTCAGAAGTCTGTAATGGGCTTCTTAGTCTTAGGAGCAGATTGAAAAAGAATTTCTTTGTACTAGGTATGTTTATAGCTTTTAATTTCTAATTTTCAGTTTAAGTTTTCCTTTTTTATATTTATCTCGCATTATGGGCCCTTTTGAAGTTTTTCTATGTATGGCATTTTAAATTTTACTGATATATGTATACTGTAAAGACTGTAACTTCGATAGCGTACTGTGTGTTTACTGTACGGTGTGCCATTTTCCAATGAACCCATGCCTTCTATTCATCGACTTTATCTAATTTTAATGTCTTAGCCTTAGGTCCTGTAAAGCCTTTGAAGATTGTGTTTGAGTTTTTGGAACTCCAGGGCAAATTTACCTTTTTGGCGTCATAGTAGCGTTTTATTTTATTAGTTACAGTAAGTTCACATTTTTGTAATAAGGAACGCCCTTGCTGTTTATTAAAAAAATAGTTAGTTTAGCACCATCATGTGTATGTTTCATCTGTTGCTTTAGTATATTTTAAAGGGTGATTTTGTTCTTGGGTTTAATTTTTCGAGTGACTGTCCAACGGGCGGGAACTGGACTGACGCCTGCATGCTACTACGCTACTTGGAATATAACTTTCATAATTATATGTTTAGTTCAAAATAGTATCAATAATAAACAAATTACAATTGTAGGTCAATAAGTACAAATCACGTACCTATTCCCTACCCTATTACGTGTCATAACATGTCATATCATTATTTTTATTACGTAATTCTACACAATGACAGATTTGGAGTGGACAATATTCATTTAGCATGTTGATAATTTAAGGACATACTACAAACCTCTGTAAATGTTGTTTATTGTTCCAAAAAGTAACGTAGTATCATACCAAATATTTATTTTATACATCATTCCCGCTCTGCAATGTGTAATTATTATAATGATACCTTCATTGAAACGGTAAGGGAAAACGTAGCTAACGAAAATGCTCAAGAGTTGTGAGCGCAAGCCGCGCTCTTGTTTGTTATCTTGTATATAAAATGTACATATAAAATTATAATAAAAATAGTAAAAGTATTTTTTGTTTCATTACAATCAACGATCATTCGAGCATAGAGTTTTAAGTCCAGATTAACTGCCTCTGTTGCCGAACGGTTACCATGCCGGACTGCCAGAGGTCCCAGGTTCGATTCCCGGCCCGGGAGAAATAGTTGTATGGCCTACAATTATTTCTCTCGTGAGTTTGGGTGTAATTTGTGGTTGTCTATGTGTGTGCCCATGGCACCCGCGACACAGGGTTTCCCTAGTGCGAGGCTATGTTAAGTGTGTGCGTTATTTATATTAAAAAAAAACGATAAAGTGATATCGTCGGGCATAGTGCAATAACGCGTAACTAGTATTGGATTATAAGTTTTTGGTAAATTAGTTGAGCCAGCCAAATTAGCGCGATTTATGAGAATCTATTGTTATCATTCCGTAGACAATATAAATTAACACTTACTAAGCAAAATTTAAAGTCGTAGCCAATGAAGTAACGAAATAATGACGTTGAATCGTTCTTTTGAAAAATATGGTTTTGTGTTTGTTTTACCAATGCAAACATACGCCGATTTGCATTAACCCGAATTTAGTTTAGTTTGTTTGCTGAACGCTGCAAAATACGCAAGTAGAGAATGGATGGATGCTAGAGAATCGAGTGTATAATTATAATACATTTTTTGTAAGTTATTTGTTAGCTTCGTTTGATGGTACAATTAGTTAAACGGTAATACCGTGTACATATATTTACAATAAAAAAAATTAAAATTAATTTAAGTTACTCTAAAACAATATGTACAAGAAATCGACTGGTTACTATAAAGCGATGATTTTGGAATTTATAAATGTTGTCGATAATGGAATAATACACAATAAAATCTCCGACAGCTGCAAAGAATTAACTGTAGATGTAATCCTCAAAATACAAACTAAAAAAATATCTGTACTCTTAAAGGACAACTCTAGTAATAATGAATCCTGAATTTCATAATTTACCTACTTACACATAAAAAACTTTTCAATCGAGTTCTTAGGTTTTAGCGATTGTTACACATAGGAAATGAAACTATTTTTCCGGATTTAAATCGCGTACATTTGTTTATTCAAACAAACCGACGTTTTGGGCCCTTTGCAGGTCCGATTTTTGGTTAACTGTGATGGTACAGTCTTCAACAAAACGAAACATCGGTTTGTTTGAAAAAACAAATATACGCGATTTAAATCCGGAAAAATAGTTTCATTTCCTAAAACTTTTCAAGTTTCAAACATAAAATTTTGCAATCATTAAGACTGGTTTAGATTAAGGTGCCTACAGACACGATCGACATTGACGATTTTTATTTTTAGTTTATATTAATGACTTACCTAGCCTTATGGAGGGTATAAAACATGAGATAGTATTGTTTGCTGATGATACTTCCTTATTATTTAAAGTTAAAAGGCACCAATGTTTCTACGACGATGTGAACAATGCTATATCTAAAGTAGTTGATTGGTTTGCTGTTAATAACCTACTTCTTAATGAGAAACAAACAAGTTGTGTGAAATTTACATTACCCAATGTTAGAGAGACGGTTACAAACATTGTAGTTAGAAACGAAAAATTGAATCTTGTGGATACAGTTGTATTTCTAGGTATAACGTTAGATGCTAAATTGCAATGGGGTCCCCATATAAGGAAGTTATCACAACGGCTCGGCTCTGCAGTATACGCGATTAAAAAAATAAGGAAACTTTCAGACGTCGAAACCGCTAGATTGGTTTACTTCAGCTACTTTCACAGTCTAATGACATACGGCATTTTGCTTTGGGGTAATGCCGCCGATATCAATAGAATCTTTGTCCTGCAGAAACGTGCAGTTAGGGCAATTTACAATCTGGGCCCCAAAGTATCTTTGAGAGATAAGTTTAAGGAAATTAACATTTTTACACTAGCCTCACAGTACATTTATGAAAATGTAATTTATGTTAAAAGGAATAGTAATTTATTTATGAAAAATAGTGACAGACATAACATTAATACGAGGAATAGAAATAAACTAGCTTTTCTTGATAGTCGTCTTCACAAAGTCAAAAAATCATTTAAGGGGCAATGTATACGCTTCTATAACAAGATTCCGGTTGATATACAAAATTTGCCTTTCACGAGGTTTAAAACTATAGTGAAACAAAAATTTTATACTAAAGGTTATTATACAACTTCTGCGTACTTGGATGACAAAAATCCGTGGTAGTAACCCGTTTAGCTCATGGAGGTAGTCTCGATCTCTGATGTTTCAAATAAAAAAAATATTGTAAATGTTATTTACAAAGAGCAACCCCTAGAGTTTCTTGCTCATTCTTCTCAGGGGAATCTGCCTTACGAATGAGCGGTAGAGTTTAACTATTGTGACGATTTCAAGTGTAATAAAGCTTACCTATGAAATAAAGATTATTTTGAATTTGAATTTGAATTTGATCGATGTCAATGGTCAGTGTCGATCGACAATGTCGATTAGGAGCCTACAGACATAATCGACATTGTCGATCGAGTCGAGTTATAGACGTTTTCGAGTTGTTTGGGAGTGCTTATTGAGAATGTAGCATTAATTTCTAAATCCAAGATGGTTGCAAAGAATTTTCAAAAATTTACATCTGAATACATGATAGCTGACACGACTTTTCGCATTTCTAAATGCAAGATGGCGGGCATGATATTTCAAATAATGGCAAGTTGAGTATTGTTTTCGAGATATTTGGGGGTGCTCATTACGAATATAGCACTTATTTGTAAATCCAAGATGGCGGACACGATTTAAAAAAAAATGCAATATGGGTATCATTTTCGAGGTATTTGGGGGTGCGCATTACGAATATAGCACTTATTTCTAAATCTAAGATGCAGGCAAGGTTTTTCGAATAATGGCAAGTTGGGTATCATTTTGGAGGTTTTTGGGGTGAGTACAAATATACAGGGTGTCCCAAAACTCAACGTCAAGCGGTCACTGGGCGAGAGGCCAGGTTATATCAGTTCTGGTAAAAATTAAAAAAAATCCATGTCACTTAGTTAAGTGATAATAGGCATTTTTTTTTAAATGTTGAAAATTGATACCCTAGACCACATGTTTAGGTACTGTCATCACAAATTTTCAAATTTTGGAGAGATTTTTTTTTAACGTCATCATAAATAACCATGCTATTTATTGCAGTCACAAATCAAACAATAAACGTTATGAGTTTAGTAAAAAAAAATAAGTTTCATTAAGTCGTAGCTTAAAAAAAATATGTCAGCTAGCTTTGACACTTCATATTTTTTTTTAAATGTACTACACTACCCTGGGCAAGTTATTTTAAAAGATGGCCCATATAATCAAGATTTCAAAATGGTACTGTACTTGCCACTCTTCATTCCATAAAAAATATTATAACTTATTTTTTGCAAAAGGAGCTCGTTTCAAAAAAAACTCATGCCATGGTAAATAATACTTTTGTGTGCTCAAAGATTGGCTTTAACATCGTGGAAGTGAGATGGTCATATGTGATAAAGTGAGATGGATAGTGACAACGCATTAAACAAAATAATCTACCCTAACACATGTGAGTGTGTCAACTTAATAATTAGTCGATTGTTGTATTATAATAAATTTTAATCAAAATGAAACGAAAGAAACTATTGTAATACTTTAATGTTAAAGTAAATGCTCAAATTGTTTGCCTTCGGCACGAATACAGGCTCTGCATCGCCTCACAAAAGATCTTTTTGTCAATCGTGCGAATCTTCTCAAACTAATTCCTTGTGCTGCTTCAAAAATTTTGTGGCGTAATTGGGCTAGATTTTCTATAGCTTTTCCATATACTTTTTCCTTTATGCAGCCCCAGTAAAAAAAATCAAGGGGGTTTAGGTCCGGAAATCGAGGAGGCCACAAAATTGAACCAAGGCGCCCAATCCACCTTCCGGAATATTCCGTGTTTAAATAATCACGTACAGAACGAGCATAATGCGCTGGGCAACCGTCTTATTGAAACCACATTTCTCTATAGATGTTGAGTGGTACATCTTCTAGTAACGTTTGCAAATCGTTTTGAAGAATATCTAAGTAGTTGTCGCCATTTAATGTTTCAGGCAACTCAAACGGTCCAATTATTTGTCCATTTAAAATTCCGATCCACATGTTGACTTTGAATTGGTATTGGGACCGGTCTTAACGCATTAAATGCGGGTTTTTCGTGTGCCAGCCATGTACACTGTGCAAGTTTAAATAACCATCTTTTTTAAATGTTGTTTCGTAAGTCCATAAAATTTTGTTTATAAATTGCGGATGTTCACGATTTCTCGCCAACATTGTTCTACAAAAATCCATTCTGAGTGAATAGTCACGAGGTAATAAACTTTGTACACGTTGCACATGATACGGGTGATATTTGTGTTGCTTTAAAATTCGATGAGCAATACTTTTCGGTATTCCAGTGGCTCTTTCAATCGCACATACTGAAGTGCTGGGATCATTTCGAATTTCTTCTAAAATTACATCGTCGTCGTCTCCTTGAGGTCTTCCACCGCTCGTACGAGCACTAGGCAATCGTCCTTCCGAGTACGCCAGGTGTACATTGACGAACACGCGGTGATCTGGGTGACGCTCTAAGTTTGGGTACCTCTCGCGATACAATCTGGCTGCGGCAGAGGCATTACAATGGCATTCAACGTAAATAAGATACATGTTCGCATATTCTTCCGCTGTGTACAGATACGGCATGTCGCGAAACGTGTTAGTTTTGCTAAGTACTAACTAATACAGTTTACAAAACACAAATCGAGTCCAGGGAATAAGCCAGAGTCGTCAACACAGATGCAATATCAAGTCCAGGGTAACCCAAGCCAAAGTCGTCAGTACAAAAGTTACACGATTACGAGAAGATGCACAGTAAACGAAGGAACATAGCGTACTAAATGATAATAACCAATGTTCAATAATAGAGCATCGGCGTCACTATCAGTCTGGCTCACTCTAATTCATGTCACACAGCGGCACTATCCATCTCACTCTATCACATATGACCATCTCACTTCCGCGATGTTAAAGCCAATCTTTGAGCACACAAAAGTATTATTTACCATGGCATGAGTTTTTTTTGAAACGAGCTCCTTTTGCAAAAAATAAGTTATAATATTTTTTATGGAATGAAGAGTGGCAAGTATTGTACCATTTTGAAATCTTGATTATATGGGCCATCTTTTAAAATAACTGGCCCAGGGTAGTGTAGTACATTTTTTTTTAAAATATGAAGTGTCAATGCTAGCTGACATATTTTTTTAAGCTACGACTCAATGAAACTTATTTTTTTTTACTAAACTCATAACGTTTATTGTTTGATTTGTGACTGCAATAAATAGCATGGTTATTTATGATGACGTTAAAAAAAAATCACTCCAAAATTTGAAAATTTGTGATGACAGTACCTAAACATGTGGTCTGGGGTATTGATTTTCAACATTTTCAAAAAAATGCCTATTATCACTTAACTAGAGTCTGTCTAACGAAAGATGAGACTGGAAAAAGGCGGCAAATTCAAAAAATCATCATATGGCAACTCAGGTTATAGTTGGAAATATAGTTTTGATACTTTTATTTATTATAATAATATTTGTTACTTGTCGTGCCTACGTCAGATTTTTCAAACAGTGTAAAGGCATCTGACTTACCTCACGACTGCCACATAGTAATGGAACCATAAGGTACCTTCTAAAGCACGAAACAGTTCAAGATATTATTTATGGTCAACAATCCAAGTTTAGAGCACGCCTGAGAGTGCTAACTTATGGTAGCTTCTCATAATATGGAGAAAAAAGAACACCGAGTGAAAGCAAGAAAAAACATGATAATAAAAATACAATTTAATTTTGTTTAATCACTGTAATCAAAATCTGAATCTAAAAATTCAACTGCGAATGAAGAGTCAGAATTACTATCACTATCATTATCTCTGACTCTTATTATGAACTCTTCCATTTCTGCAGTTATTCCATCTCGTTTTTTGTACTGCTCTTCAACATGAATAACATGGTCTGTATTTTTTATTACTATTAAAAGATTCTTCTATTAATTTTGCCATATCCTCCGCAGACAAACCAATGTTTTTACTGGCAACTTTGCGTTTCGCCAAACTCCATACTAATTCTATAGCGTTTAGATCGCAATGGTAGGGCGGTAGTCTTAGCACTTCATGCCCATGCTGCTTCAAAAGTTCATCAACTTGGTAGACCGGTGCTTGTTTATTCTCTTTTGCTAAAACTAATAGTTCTTCTCTTGATAGATAATCTTCATATGAAATACCATTTGAAGAGAGCCATGCTTGGATTTCAGCTTTTCTAGTATTTGTTGTTGGGCCCTTATTGATTTGGACACAGTGATAACTAGCATTATCCATAACAATAACACTGGGCTCACTTAAATTAGGGATTAGTTTCTCAGATATCCATTTATTAAAATTTTGAGAGTTCATATCTTGATGATAATATGCATTTTTAGATTTTGTGCTGAACAGCAAAAGAGCATTTGGCACGAAACCTTTTTCTGAGCCAGCATGAACAATAATATATCTCTTACCCCAAGAGATATTAGTGACAGCACCACTTGTGGATGGACCCTGCCATGATTTTTTAGGTTTATAGTTTTGATGAACATAAGTTTCGTCAAGATATACAATTTCTTTGCCTTCTCTACGTTTAGTAGTGATTGTCCGCAAGAACCGGTGTCTCCATGCTGCTATGTCATATCTTTCAATAAGAATAGAACGTTCATCTTTGTTTTTCTTAAATTCAAATCCATTTGATATTAGGATGCGACGCAATGTTTCATGACAGCCAGTAAAATTAATACTATCCCTTAATTCACGTAAAAGGGACCTTAATGTTGGAATTTGTTTTTTTACGATATAAAACTCATTTATTTTGTTTTTAATCGTATCAATATCAAAAGAATCTAAAGCTGACACTGTTGGCTTATGTGGCCTCTTTTTGCCTGGTGTGTTCCACGTGCCTTCATTTGTTTGACCCTCTGTGAAAAGAATTAAACTTTTAAGGGTACCAACACTGATATCTGAAACAAATATTTAAATACAATTAATTTTAGTAAGGTAAAAATGTAGGGTTTATAAATAACACATTCATCGACAAGAGTAATTTTTTTTATTACTCAAAATTCTTGAGACGAGAAGAACAAACCAATGACAGATAAAAGAATGGGTTACAAAAAGAGACCAAATCAAGAAGATATTATCAGGTTTCCGCTGGTATGAAGTAAAAAATAATGTATAAACAAAATAATCTTAATTTTATTATGAAAACAACAACTACTAAGGATGTCTTTGTATTGCAATATTCAGCAGCAAAAGAGCCGCCTAAAAGGACCTCACAATAAACAAAGGGATATTTAAGAGACAGTCTGGAAATAAAATGTAAAACAATGGGGTTGGCAACTGTCAAAATGTCGCTGTTTACGGTTGTTCCAAAATAACTTGTCAAATGTATGGAAAATTCACTTCAAAAATATTTTTCTCCGTGAATTTATAAAATTAAGTGAAAATCTTTATAAAACGGTTATGTTAGTTAATTACGGACGTGTTAGCATATTTTTTAATAGAAAATTCAATAAAGCCATATTTTTATAGGTTATGTTTGTGAAAACCTTAAAAATCTATTTGATAAACAAGATACACGATATTTAAACGATTTGAGGTGAACATTTTTATGATTTACTAAGATTCTAACCCATTAATTAGTCATGATAATGACAAAAAATAAAGATATTTGAGTTTTTGTTAAGAATAACCGTACGCAACGACATCTACAATTAGCTTTGCGTTGCCAACCCTATTAACAGTGCATATTGCATTGTATTTTGTCGGTTAGGTACAGGTGTTTTGATAAATAACGACGGTACTCAAATAGGTACTTACCGGTCATAGAAGAAATCTCGTCAAGATACTGATTTTGTGTCTTTAAACATTCTTTAAGGAACAGATCATTCAATTTTTTTATTGTTGCTCGAAAGGTTTCTATAACTGGATTACTGGTATCATCCATGTTACCTGCAAAATAATAAATATTAAACAAATCGTACTTATATAACGCGCAATGCAATCAAGATGAAAGGTATCAAAATATCGAAGTCACACTTACCAATGCATTGAGACATTGCACGTAAACACTCTTGTTTTTCCTTGAAAACTACATCTCTTTCAACTTGTTTCTTTTCAAATTTACTAATCATAGTAAAAAGAACCTTTCGTAAGTCGCTTTTCAATGTTTTCGTCATGTTTTCAATTAGAAATAACTAAAATCGCAGAAATAATTTTCACTTTGACACATCAACAACTCAGGTTCTAGTGACATTGACACTATTATTAGTGTTGCCATATACATTTTCGAAATAAAAAGCCGGTCTCATCTTTCGTTAGACAGACTCTAAGGGTCGTATTCTAGAACTCTATTCAATGCTCAAGTCAGGATTGCACTGGCAACACAAGCACTGGAAATACGACCCTAATGGCAGGGACTTGAGTATGATTTCGAGTGCTTTGAATCATACTCAAGTCCTGACTTGAGCATTGAGTAGAGTTCTGGAATACGATCCTAAGTGACATGGATTTTTTTTTTAATTTTTACCAGAACTGATATAACCTGGCCTCTCGCCCAGTGACCGCTTGACGTTGAGTTTTGGGACACCCTGTATATATACATTTGTGCTCGCGCACTGAATCCGGTCATCACAGAATCACCTAAATTTCGTTTGTATGTGATACCAGGAGACGTCACTTGGTATCCTAAATGATTAGTAAAGGTGCCTACAGATACGATCGATATTGTCGATCGACAATGTCGATTAGGAGCCTACGGACATAGTCGACATTGTCGGTCTGAATTATAGACGTTTTCGAATTGTTTGGGAGTGCTTATTGAGAATGTGGCATTATTTTCAAAAATTTATTATTGGTAATCCTTCTGGAAATGGCATTTATATCTAAATATATATTCATCACCAGTTACTTAGGCACTTGGTGACCCAGCTTTAGAGGAAAGCACTAGGATAATTGTTTCTTTTTATTTTAGAGTGCAAATAATGCGTTGACTGCGTGTATGTATGTATACTCACGTAAGAACTCACGTCTTTAGTTGTGTAGTCTTAACTGCCTCCGTTGTCGAACGGTTACCACGTCGGACTGCCACGCAGAGGTCCCAGGTTCGATTCCCGGGAGAAATATTTGTATAGGCCTATATTTATTTCTCTCGTGAGTTTGGGTGTAATTTGTGGTTTTCTATGTGTGTGTCCATGGTACCTGCGACACATGGTTTTCCCTAGTGCTATGTTGAGTGTATGCGTTATTATTATTATTATTAGTCTAGGTAGTTAGTTTGTATCGTTTTATATAACAAAATATATTGAAATCTAACAATGAAAATTGCCCTATTGTGTATATGCAATGTATAGAACACAGACGACGACGACTATAAAGTGTTATAACAATATACATCATAGTTTAAATTAAAATGTCAAATGGTAACTAAAAAACATTTATTTCGTACAAAAAATTGCTGTTATAACACTAGGTAGTAACAAAATAACTTAAACGATAAAATATCAGTCGATTCATTTAATGAATTGTGATACTGTGTGATTAAAGAGTCCTCGTAATATCATTTACATGTGTAGGTAGGAATACCTATAAATATTTGAATGAAATAGCTGACGTAGAGTTTATATAGGGTTATTTATAATTAATTTAAAACCCCTAAACACAACATTCTTATCACTAAAACTTCATTCTGATACTTTTTTCTGAAATTTTTTTCGATGCCAAATTTTTTTCTTTCTTACGTACACATGTATGGGTACAACATTTGTAGGTATGAAAGGAAAAAATTGTTTATAGATGTGTATGAAAAGTAAAAAAAAGTATTTTCTCTAGAAGTTGTACAACTGCATTTTTTCCAGTCACGAGGTTTCGTGTGTAAAAATAATGCTGTATTGGTATGAATTATTGAAGTTACTTGATTTTACACATTTCGTATTGAATAAATGTAAGCACTACGCAAGAAACAGTGACATTTTTGTGTGCGATACTAATGTACTGTCCATGAACGTGTTAAAAACATTATAGACCTTTGTAAACACATTTCTTACCCGCGACTACAAATTCGTGTATCTTCGTGCTTCTATTACGTAATGACTAGCTGTACATTTTCTGAGTTTTTCAAGTGTTTCTTCTTTTCGCTTTCGAAAAGCTCGATAAGGCGTTCTGTAAACTCTGCGTGCACAGCATCTATTTCTTCATCAGTTGGTTCTAGGTTTTTCACCACTTCCATTGGGCGGCCGACTGAAAAATATACACAAGTTTTTGTAACAAAAGAGGTAATATAGTTTATTGTGAAAATAGTTTGTTGGTATTATTGATACAAAGATACCCGGCATGGCAACGTCACTGGTCCGAGGCCAGCCGGATTGAATGAATAATCTAATAATTTATTTGTGTTTGTTCAGTCTTTGTATCAATAACAACAAGGGTAATATAGGTCAAGTTAAAAGTATCTGCACAGAATAGATGAGCGTAAATGTAATAAAAAAAACTGATATGTAAGTTGTAAAGTAAAAGAATGTTTTATGAGATTATGTATGAGGAGATGGAAGGGCCTATGGAGTATCAAAGCCAATGAAGGGGCTTTTTGTGTACAAGATCTGAGAAGCTATTTCATCATAATAAATATGTCTCACTGGTAGGCACGCATACCATTTTAGGAGATGGTCTAAAGGATATAATAAATATTGAGCGTTGGTCCAATGCACGTTCGAGGCTCCTAATAAAGTCTTCGAAGGGAACAATCTTGTCTTACGCATTGTTTTCTCACATCATCAGTTTACAAATTCCAATTCACTTTAAGTGACTAAACTACACATCATTTGAAAAGACTACGGAAGAGTAATTTACTAGGATAATTTACAAAAATATTCTAAATCGGATTGAGTCGTTTAACAAGTATTTTGTATATCATCTACTTCTCGGAAGAAAGTATTTTTTCACCTCACTAGCTCGGAAAGGCTTTCCTTCTCATTAGAAATCTACGCGCAAAAGGTTTTTGAAATTCGAACTTGACGTTGGATTGTGGTGCACCTAATTTTTTCATTCGATAAAAAAACATAATGACATGTTCAAATACGCGATTTGTCGTACATTATTTATGTAATATAAATCCATTGGTATATTTTATTCTTATTATTGTTGACATTAAGTTGGCAACGATAAATAATTTTGTCTATTAAATTATTTTAGTTTGTCGAGGATCGATACTGATTTGTTATAGTTTTCTTTCATTTACCATTTTCCTCGCTATAGTGAGGTGAAAAATTTTGTGTTTCGCTCGGCAGCTAAGTTGTTTTGCGTCTTCCACCTTGAAACCCTCGCTACGCTCAGGATTCTATTTTTTCTTCTCTTAATCCTAGAATCCGTTAATCTTAGAATCCTTCGCTAGCTCAGGTTTCAATACAAGCACTCGCGTCAAACAACAACTTTGAACCTTGCATAGCAAATAACTATTTTCGATGTCAAAGGAAATTGGAACATGACATCGAAGGGACACAAAACAAGTATAAGAAATCTCATCAGGAATTTGTCTTCTAAGTACTTTAACTGTATCAGAGTTCTAACTATTGCGCTGCTATACATATTAAAAAAGGTTGAAAGTTTAAATCTTACCGACAGTAGTAATAGGAGCTCTTATAGGCAAGACTCCATAATTATATTGAAAAACTCCTCGTCCAATAGGAAACATTGGTGAGATGCCAGTGAATTTACGAACAGCTTCTTGGAACCTTCTTAATAAACTGTTTTCTGGGTTATTGAAGGGGCGGAATACGTCAGGCTCGCCAAATGAGAAGACCGGAACCAGAGGAGCACTGGAAATTTCAAAATATATATCAAGTCACAGGTAGTAAATAAAATAAGACAGGCCATATTAATTATGTCATGAACAATATATATAAATTCGTTATACTTGGTGTTATAATTTATATACAAAGATCGAATAAACACAAAGGAAAATTCCTTTGATCCGGCTGGATTCGAACCAGCGTCTGTTTGCCAGATCGCGGCTTTCCCAACAGTGCTTGGGATATTATTATATTATCGTCGGAGATGGTGCAATTACGCGTAACTAGCATTTGATTATGAGTCCCCATTTCGGTAATTTAGTCGTCATATCAAATACGCGTAAATTTCGTGGCAACCAAATTAGCAAGATTTACGGGAATCCATTATTGTCAGTCCGCAGACAACACAAATTAATGCTTACTTGCAAAAATGAACGTCGTAGTCATTGAAATAAAGTAATAACGTTAAATCCCTCTTCTGTGAAATTTGCAGATACGCGTTTTTTACCAATACGTACACGAATTTGCACTATCCCTGACGATATAGGAAATAATATATATATATTTCTTTGTAGTTGTTGAAGATTGAAAACAAGTGCTAATCATTTACACTTTGAATCTAGAGAAGCACGTGTACTTTTTGTATAAGTTCGGTTTCCATTTTTGTTAAAATAAAAACCATCAGCATCTTTGCCTTATTATATTATAGCAATAACAATTTCAATTTGTCTGTAAATATGTACCCACCGGAGACAAAAATAATAAATTTAAGCCATCTTTCTGTCTTAAAATTGATAAGAAACATTTGTAAAGTACCTAGGTACTATTTGGAAAAAGAAAATAAGTTCCATAAAAAAATTAGTGAAATCAAGATTTTGTTTGTCAATACAATATTTGTATTGCCATCGGATTTACAACTGTATTCACAATTTCACTTCATTCGTATATTTAATCGGATAGGAAGTTTTTCGGTGTTTGTTCTCTAATAAGATTTGGCTCGAACGTAGCTAGATGCTAACAAGAAAAGTGCAAAACTCACCCAGATTGCATAGCAATTCGTACGAATCCCCTTCGTCTCTTCAGAATAACTTTATACTCGCCAGGATGAGAGTCTAACGCTTCCGCAGCTCCGCCGACTATCAACGCAACACATTTCCCCCTATGTCTTTTCTTATCCAATAAATACAGTAAACTCTCTCGTGAAGATGCGCATCCTCCCATCGCTAAAATAAAATCTCTGAAGAAAGGCACCAGGAAATGTCCGGATAGCGTAATCATGTTACACGTCATTCCAGGAAACATCTTATAAAAGTCCAGGGCGTTCGTGGCGAACGCACCAAATGCCCCCGAGGAAACAACGCCATGCGGGAAACATGCGAAGAGGTAGTTACAAGAACAATCCAAATCTGTTGTCTTCACAAGTTTGATTGGAAAATAATCTCGATAATAACGCCACCAGGACCAATTGCGGACCCATTCGTACCTAAAAAATGTTGTTATGGTGACATTATCAGGTTTACTTCTTTAAGCAGCGCATTCAAAGGATTTTTCTTCAATAAATAATTTTGTCAGATTGTATATTTTCAGGTGTATATCTGCCCTCCTTATCCATTACCACAGACCAGTAACTCCTAACTGGCAGTGTACCTGAGTCAATGATATTTTTGTCTGTATCGAATAAAAGACGAATAAGAAATAAAAGATAACTACGTATTTAAAACTGTGGTTCTTTACTACTGTGGCATATTATTCCAAAAGCAATATTTGCAGGGGATCTACTCCCGTCCTTCGTCCGACATCCGTCCGAAACAATGTCAAATAAGTAATACTCGGCAAATTAAAAGACGCAAGATGCGAATGAAGCTTCATATTTGACATTGTCTTTTGATTTGGTCGAGTATTACTTATTTGACCGTAACTGTTGTAGACCCCCAGGTATTATCGTACCGTGTGTGATCACAGACATATCGCACTGCTATTACAATAGTGTTGTAAATCAAAGCATGTGAAATTTATTATTATATCATTGGGATTCGTATATCACAGCGTGACACCATCCTCGCGAAATTGATAAAATAGTCGCGCGCGGTGCGTGTTGATAAATTTTGTCATATAGCGTGCGATATGCGGCCATGCCAAGAACGTAAAATGTGGTTCTCTACACGTGAAATAAACCGTCGTTAGAATATTGTAAGAAACAATCAAAAGATATCTATTCAACTCAAAATAAGACACACTTTATGTGAGCTAGTTCTGGCCAAAAAAATCCTAATTCAAAAACATGAAATTATTTTTTCCATTTCATTTTTAAATATATTTAAGAAATCGTTTAAGTGTCTATAATAAACTGTAACATATATATTTTAATGATTTTTTGCGATAAGTGAGTAATTCGTTTTTCATCGATTCTGAGAAAGTCCTCTTTTTGAGTTAATAAGTGTATTAACTCAAAAAGTAGACTTGAGCATTGAATAGAGTTCTAGAATACGACCCTTACTTACTTTCTTTCTTACAATAGTGATTGTATTAACAACGCGATATATCTAGATAGACGCCGCGAGTTACGTACTTCGCGTGCCCAATGTAAGTGAAATGAACTTAGTTGCCGCTGCTACACTTCAGAACGCGCTCGACCGCTATCGTAGATAAACACCAGTCGAAAACGCCAAAAATGCATAATTGTGCCATTATACAGCAAAAGCACTATAAGTGTGGTTAAACGAGTAAACAGGAACGTTTCCTTCCCTGGGCAACAGATTTTGTAACCGGAAGATGCATAATTTATTTTAAAAACAATTATTTTGATTTTGTATGATTTCGAGAAAACAAATATGCAACCGAGTGTATGCCTCATGATTGGTAACACATTGATATGAAAATGAAAATCGAACGAACGCACTTTTGTATAATGCATTCAACCGTGACCATGGGACCTGTAAAGGGCGCGAAACGTCGGCTTGTTTGAAAAAACAAATATACGCGATTTAAATCTGGAAAAATAGTTTCATTTCCTAATGCATTCAGTTTCGTGGTACGGCCGCTTGCACATTTTTTTGGCCAAATTTAACATTATACGTTAGGCAACACTGTTCTCGATTCTGATCGATTTTGAAAACAAAGGGACGAAAATTATTATGACCTTAGCAATATTATAAAAATATTCTATAACTCTCTTGTTATGTCGTTTAGTAACGTTTCGTTTTTTTTTTTAGTTTTGTAGTATCTATTATCAGTAGTACCTGTAATTTATTATTTTTGCAGCACGTTGCCTTGAATGTCCGAATATAATGAGCAAATAGTTAGTAATTAGTATATATAAATATAGCCGGATATGTAGTACGAGTAATATAAAAAAATATAACGGAAAGAATTAAATGCGCTGTCTTTACAAAAACCTGGAGTTGGTCATACGTGAGCTCGTTTCTTTCGAGGACGAAGATGGTCTAGTTTATCCCACCTAAGATGCTATGCAAATATGTAGAGAGCAGAGTTAGAAATCCGCGAAATAATAAACAAATCATAAAAATTTCACACGAGGCCGTCATTAAGTAAACCTCTTCTGATTAATAAGATTTTACTATATTTTGTCAGCAGTAACATTTTCATTTGTCTTGCCATTCATCAATTTGATCAATCACCAACAGAAATACAATCCACTAAAATTAATTAGGGCAGTCGCAAGTTCATATATTGACGTGCGTTTTAATAATTTAAGTTAATCATTAAAATTTTCTATTACAAAATGATGTTATATAATAAGCTCATTTTACTGGAAGGACAATAAGTTTAGTATTTGAAGTCGATTAAAAATTAATCTTAAGTTTTTTTAAGTAATCAACATTTTTTTAAAACAAGTAAAATAAAGGACTAAACTATCTTATTCTAGTATTTTTCTACTCTTATTAATATTACGACTAAGTACTTGTAATCAACAAATACTTGAACAAAAATTATCATATTTAGAATCGATTAATTTTAATGAAGTACGCGTGTTTACGCGTATTCCGTTTAAACAATCGATTTAGAGCGAGCGGAAGGAGGTTTCCATCATGAAATAGGTCTTGTGACGTCATAGTGGGTACAAAAAATGTGGCACGCTTGGTTTTCATACAAATTGCTGTACTTGCGGCGTCTATCTAGATATATGTCTGTGGTTTTTATACAAATTGCAGTGTATCTAGATATAAGTCTGTGTGCGTGATAGTGTTACACGTCGTATTTAAATAAATTAAAAAATTGTCTTACTTTCGCCCTCCCTTATTGCAAACGTCAATGTCATTCAGGAACCAAATAGAATATATAATAGCAAGCCACCAGTAATCAGAATATACCAGTTTTAGGAACAGACAGATGGCGATGGCTTCTCCGAAGAGTACTAGGCAAATCCAACCAGTGGCTGCGAGAGTTTGAAAACGACGTTCAACAGGGATATCACGTGGGGCCCATTGTACTCCTAGTGCCTCGGATATAGTCCTGAAATAAATATAAAACAGTAAAATCAGTAAACGGCAAAGACGCTGAATTTAATTTAATTGTACCTACAACCTACCTACAAAAACATTGTACATGTCAACCGTGACCATGGGACCTGTAAAGGGTCCGAAACGTCGGTTTGTTTGAAAAAACAAATATACGCCATTTAAATCTGGAAAAATAGTTTCATTTCCTATGTGTAACAATCGCGAAAATCTAAGAACTCGATATTGTACCTACAACTCAAGCAAGCAATGTATTTGTACTTATCACTTTACTCGAGTGGCTTTATTCGCCTGTAAATTACTTGCAGTGGTTACGCGAAGGCTTGCACGTAAAGCCACGATAGTATGTCATTAACGTTATTTTTTAACCCTGAATAACCTAAGCGAGATTAATTTACAATGTATTTATGTGCTATTTTATTATTATTTTATATGTTATATATATTATGCTATTTTATTATATTCCTGGCATTATCTATCTTGTCGCTACGCGATCATTTATTTCGCGAAGTGGTACATAAAACTACATACTTCTACTAAATGCTTGAGTAGTCGATATATATATATACACGAGCCCTGTACGGTACGAGCACCGTCAGGTGGGACCTAACGGTGGGATCGGGCTCGGCCTGTGGCGCACGTGCGGGTGTGTATGTGGGTGTGTATGGGTGTGTGTGTGTGTGTGTGTGTGTGTGTGTGTGTGTGTGTGTGTGTGCGTGCGTGCGTGCGTGTGTGTGTGTGTGTGCGTGCGCATGGGTGTGTGTGTGTGTGTGTGTGTGTGTGCGTGCGCGTGCGTGTGTGTGTGTATGCGTGCGTGCGTGTGTGTGCGCGCACGTGCGTGTGTGTGTGTGTGAAGAGATAGAGAAAGAGAGAGAGAGAGTGTGTGTGTGAGCGTATGCATGTTATGCGTTTAAATGATTTGTAGTGTTGTTAATTACGGTACGCAATCTAAGAGATTTTCCACTTCCTCATAAGAAAGGGTTTTCAACCATTCACTTAACGCCTTCTTACAGTCATATTGTTTCATGGGATAAATTCGTAACGTTTTGTTGATGGAGTTGTAAACATAACAAGCTTGCGAGTTGTACTGTCGACTGGCAAATGCTGTTCGGACAGTGCGTGAATATGCTACGATATCATTTCTTCATTTATTTTGGACAAACGGCAACGATTTTTGTAGTCTTAGGGTCATGTTCAGAATAGACAGCTTTCTGACACTCAAGAGGTTGCCGATCTTACATAAAACATCTGTAGAAACTCTAAAAGTTTTGAAATACATGACCTTCAAAAGGGCTCTTTGAGCTCTCTCTAAGTCAATAAACTTCATCCTGGTAGCTCCCCCCCCATACTGATATACAGTAAACAATAACAGACTGAACAAGAGCTACATACATTTTGGTTAATAGCTCTCCAACCATTACGTGTCTTAAAGTTTTAAAAATCTATGCAAGTTTCCTTACTCTACCCATAATCAGTTCCAGATGGGAATGCCACGAAAGTCTTGGGTCAATTATAATTCCCAGATATTTGGCATAGCTGACCTTTGTAATAGGTGAACAGTTGCAGATTTGATTGGGACAGTCACCACAGGTGTGGATCTTTATTACAATGTCAATCGCTGGCTGAGAGTTTATGTAGGGAGCAAACCAAATATAGTTTGTTTTTGTTACATTCAGGGTGAGGAGATTAGAATTAAGCCAATTAGCCATTTTCGCTAGACCTGTTTCAGCAGTGCGCTTTACTGCGTCACATGTCTTCCCAGTGAAAACCACGGCAGTGTCGTCCGCATAGGAGAATATCCTTCCACCTCCGATCTCTAACTCACATAGTTGATTTATATGAAACAACTATGACCGAGTACACAACCTTGGGGAACCCTATAGGAGATATTTTCTTCACCACTACAAAATTTGTCAAATTTAACAGTTTGTGATCTATCCAAAAGATAGTTTGATTATAAGTGTAATTTACTGTAAATAACCAGTGTAAAGTTTTGTGCAAATTGTAAATAGTAAATTGTTAAAGAATGAAGGGAGGCTCATTGATTTATCGTCTATAACCTGTAACCACCATATTATATAATAGTTACAAAACAAATGAAGTCTGTCGTAACTAACCATAAAAAACTGTAAACTATTCTATAGATAGACCATAGATGCTATACTTAACAAGTTAGCGCACGTCAACTATTTCATGTTTCTTACCATTCGTTATATTATTACACGACCTTGAGCTGCTAAAAATTATAATTTTAGCACTTTAAATAGCGCGTTATAAAAATTTAGCATTAAGCGTGCTATGCGAATATAGCAGTTAATCTCATCTCTACTCGCGAGTGGGAAGTAATTATTTTTTTCAATTAGTAACACACTTACCTTATGAACTATACAAATAGGTTTAAAAAAAGTGAAAAATACATTCTGATTGAAATTAAATTATCTATTTTTTGTGTAAATTTTATAAACAGCGGATGTTTGCATGTAAAGAGAAATTGCTTTTTATTCAATTTGAAGAGCGTAACTGTAAATTTTATTTCGTAAAAAGAGTTTAATAAATTGTAGTTTTGCTCAATACATTCAATTATTTAAGGACTACTAGCAATCATATATTTTTTGTGATTATTGGACTATTATTATTATCAGGAATTTAATTTACAAAGATAAAGTGTCTATGATAATTGATAACATACTTAATTATTTTATATTATTTCAACTTCTACTTATAAGATATTTA